TACCACCCATATCTGCTCATAGGCATTGGCACCATTGATGATTGATCGATAAGGCTTTTTGGCCACTCATCTCAAAATTCCATCCATATCTGGCATAGGTGAGGACAGCTTACGAGTGTTCTTATTTCATTCTCACAGGTTGACCACCACTCGAAGCCAAGGTGGGTTCCCTGCCTTCGGGATCAGCATCATTGGGCATGTATTGCATGTGGCTGTCAACTCCCAATGACTGGTCTTAAGGTAGGCATTCTTCTTTTCTGTCCATAAGTGATGCATGGCATCAGGACACTTTGATGGTCTCCAATGATAGACTTTCTTTTTGTCAATCAGGGGTATTTCATGGTTGATCACTCAGAATGGGGGCAGTGCTGTAGCACCAGCTTGAGAGCACAGCAGCTTGGTGAGCTCTTGTAAGTACATTCTCACCTTTTTGAGATTGTCATGGTAAACTTCTGTCACACATGATTCCAGAGTGGAAACCTGTGCTCCTTTCATCTCCATGGGCAATATGCTTCCAATGATGACTCTAGGTGAGTGTAACCCCACCATTACTTTGTGCTGATAAAGGAACAGTGTTCCCAGAATAAGGTCATAGTTTTGTAGGTTCATGACATCAAAATATCATTCACAGTCAATCCCCTGGTACTGGAGCCAGGTCTTCATGCCAAAATTCACTTTAGATCTTGAGCCCTGAATGGCAAGCTGTATGGTAAGTGGCTTCTCAAGCAGGATCCACTTGACCTTTAGTTGTTCTGCAAGGGTTACTGACATGAAATCAGCCAGTGACCCAGTATCAATCAGTGCACGTGCTGGATGGCCATTTATGTGCATGACAACTACCAGCAGCTTGGGTATCCTGTGTGTGAAGTCTTTTGCAATTGAGGAGTTTCTTTGTAGAACAGTTTTGTCCTCAGTGCAGGCTTTGGCACTCTTCAGTTGGGCCATTCTGCATAGTATGTTTTCTTCTGAGTCTGATCTCTCATCACTTGCACTAATCTCCTCGCTTTTGAACAGGAGTTGAATTCCCGAGTCATTGTCCTCCAAGGGATCATTCCATAAGTGCTCCATAAGTGTGTGAACCAATTCCCTTACATACCAGCACATGACATTGAACTCTGGTATGGTTACCTTATCCAGTGGGAGAGCTAGGCAAACCCCCATGTGATGGTCAAGTATGTGTATGGTTGAGTTATCTTCCCTAACACACACAAACCTGTCTCAGTTTCCCCCTTCCAGGATCTGTAGGCTATATTCCTCAGGATCAGCAGCAACTCTGTCTTCAATGGGATGCTCTATGGGTTTTGATCTCCAAGTCTGCACCCTTTCTTGACATCACAACTCTGGCTTTGGAATCCCAGCACACTCTCCCTTTCAGAACCAATACCAACTTTTGAGTCAGAATGATGGGTTGCTCAACAAGTCTGTCTTGATGGTAATCCCATCCTCAGGTCCAAGCATGTTGCACTCACTTTCAACAATCATGTGTCTCCTGTTCCCCAGGTCATATACAAGGAACTGTGAATCCATGTAGGTGCATAGCAATTCTGGGTCATCACCTGGATAACAGATTCCCAATAACAGGTCCATAGCCCAATCCTCTAAAGGGTGTCTGATCCCATAGTACCCCTTGTGAGGCCTGTGGAATTGTCTACTATTATAGACATACACTTGCATCCCTGCATTAGGATCCTCTTCATCAGTGGTGACTTTGTCATCATGACTGTCATATTCATCTTCACTCCATACACTCTCCAGGTCAGGGAGGTCACCATCCTCATCCTGGATTGTGTATCTCTGGACAGGTATGAAGTTCAATGACAGTCCGGGTTCATTCTCAGATGATTTGGACAATTGGCATTGATTCTCCACATCACTGAAATCGACATCCATGCCAAAGCTAGATAACCCTGGAGGTTTTCTTGACAAGGATATGGTGTGCTGACTTGGGCAGTTCCTGGAGAAATGTCCTGACTTGTGGCAATTGAAGCAAAGTCCTTCTGTCTTGTGCCATTCCTGTTCCTCTTTACTCAACTTTGGAGTATTGCACTTATGTTTTTCTGGGCATTTTCCCTGCCTTCCTCCCTGGTTAGAGGATTCCATGGGATTGTTGTCCCTCTGGTAGGTTTCACCCCTGGCCTTTCATTTGTAATCATGCCTTTGTTTGTATCCAGATTTCTGCCATTTGGGGCTCTCTGGTGAGGCAGTGGCACTTTCCAGCATCCTTTGCTTACTTCTCCATCTTCTAGATTTGTGGGTATAATCACCAGCAACTGTCTGTGCAATTTCAAGTATCTCAGCCAACATGGTGATTTTCTTTAACAATGAGACCTTCGGATTCAACTTCTCCTTCCACAGATCTCTCTGCAGTTCCTTTCAAAGGCCAGCCCAGAACTTGTGGACTTTGGTACATTTGTCTGTTTCCCAATCATATTCCACAGCTCATTGAGCTCATACAGGTAGTTCTTAACCATTTTAGAATTCTGATAATAGGATTGCAGCTTTTCCCTTTGTTGCATTTGGAAATCAATAGGGAAGCAATAGTTGAAGAGTTGTGTGAAAAAGTCTAAAAGTCTCCACTTGTAAGGGTCTCCAGACACTTCTCACACATAGAACTCATGTGCCTTTCCAGTCAAGTAGTGTGACAGAATAAAAGCACACTTCTTAGGCTTGACTTGGCCATCTGTGATGTAGGCTGTGCCTTCAGTAACAAATTGCTGGAAAGTGTGGACATCATCAAATCCATCATACTTGTCCAGTGGGATAGGCTTGAGCATTGTCTTTCTTTGGGATTTGGAATGCTTCTTAGGTTTATGGCATTCTTTGCCTCGCCCTTTACGGTGTCAGGACCTTCCTCATTGTCTTTGCAAGCTTGTAGATGATTTGCTTGTGTCAGACAAGGAGACGCTGCTTGTCAAGGACAAGTCATCATCGCTCGAGCTTGACAAGCTTGACATATCACTACTTGAGCTAGAAGAAGGTGAGCCATCATCACTAGAGCTCTCACTGGATGAGTCTCTGGGCTCAGATGAACTGGAGTCCTCATTGCTGGAAGAGTCCAACTTTTGTCTCGCCTTTCTCTTATTTTTCTTTGAGTGTTTCTCATCCTTCTCTATCTGTTTGAATGTGAGTCCTATGAAGCTCTTCAGGTTGATCTGTTTTATAGGTTCCATGGCCTTAGGTGTCTTTTGACATTCTTGCTGTTTGTGATCTGGGCACACAGCTTTATCCACCATATCTTTTACAGGATTCAGGAGCACCTTCACAGGCTTAGTCATTTTCTTTTTAGTCTTCCTTTTGCACTTAGACTTTTCTTTCTTAGACCTACATTCTGCATTCTTGCTATTGGCGGTCAGGCCTCCATCTTTATTATGCAGGTCTACATTCTTTGAGTGGCTTCCCTCAAGCATGCCAGGTTGGTGTTCTAGTCCACTGTCCTTGGTGAGCACGTTCACCATATTCCATGATGTGAGGGCTGCATGCTGTGCATCAGGATCTACTTCTGCATCATCAAAATTTAAACCTCCCCAGTTCTTAGGGTCAGGGCCTTTCCCTTTAGGATCTTTGTTTTCAGGTGATTGATCACTCTCAGACATGGACTCATCAGTGCTGCTTCTTGCCACTGACAAAGACCTCCTCCAGATTCATGCTCTTTCATCTGGGGTCATTTGTCGTTCTGCCTGTCTGATGGCATCTCTGACATCTGGTCTTACTTTGCTTTAGGCACGACAATCACATGATCATCTGCACACCACTTTTGTCCATTCAGTGCACTCCACCTCTGTCTCGCTCACTGGGAACATGGACATGGATTCACATTGGACATCATTGGGTAAGGCATCACTATCTCTGTGAGTCAGTACCTGAACTCCAACAGATCTAGCTTGTGAGGTCTCTGGGACAATGTCATCACTGGGATACACCAGCAAACTAGGGCTCAAACTGGGAGTGTCTATGGCTGCACCATGGTACACCAGACTGGGGCTCCTAGAGCCATTTTTAACCATGTCACTGTAGCTCCAGACACTACCCTTGATGGGCTTACCAACTGGGGTGGAATACTGACTTCCTAATGGAGTCAGCTTCAGAAGCAGGGACCTGTTGACAACTTCAGTGCCAGGCTGAGTCATTGGGCTAGGAGGTAAGGATGATGCTCAAGCTTTTGTTGCTCAGCGAATGGATGCTCAGGTGTTAACCATCTTTTTATTAAGTATTTGGATACTTACTCTTTTGTCTCTGCAGGGGATCAGTTCTGCAGATGGTGGAGAAGGTATTGGTGGGGATATCATTTAGGGTTTGGGGTTAGACCATATAGGCTGGAAAAAAATATGTAGTGGTGACAGTGAAGTGAGGCACTTGTGACAACACTACACAAGGAGCTTTCCTGTGGTTACCTCAAAGTTCCAAGACACCAAGGTCTGTATTTCCAGTATGTAGGAAAAATTTTCTCCCCCTACATTAAGATACATGGCCCTTTTTATAGTAGAGAGAACAGGCACACGATATCAGTAAGAACAGGTGTGAATAAGAACTAGATCAATCACAAATGAGATATGTAGAAGAAACGTCAAAAGAATATTGAACAAGTGATGTGTGGCCGACAGCGTCGGTCCGAACCTTACAGTCCTCGTGTTATCTTCGCAACAGCAGAAAATGTCACAAGTTTAACGACAACTAGACACTGCTCTGCACAATCGAAGGTTATCCCGGGTATAAGACACTCGGACGCCTGAGCGTATTCCTTTAGAGCGATTGAATTAGTAACTTTTTTACATAAAGTTGGATGCTTGGATTGGAGTCCATCTGAGGACGCACGAATAGCCATGCTACTTCCCATCGCCAATGACCGCGACGGTCCTCTAGCCTGACGAAGTATCGGACATGTAACTCGGACCGGCTTTCCCAAATTAGAACACCTACGGACGAGCGACCATATTGTTATTGCAGTCCTGCCACCGCCATTCCTAGCCTCGACGAGCGCTCTAACTATTCCACACGTTCACATGCCCAAGGCTAGCGCTGATGCCAAGGAGGAGGGCGGGGAAATCTCCTCAGAGTCACCATGGGAGAGTCCTATCGCTGCATGTGTACCCACGCTAGCCAGTGTAAGGGATTTGAGGTTCAGTCGAGCCTTGACATTTTTGTGCATAATACCGCTTTGGAGCACTTTATGGGTGCTGAATTCTCCCTTGCGTTTCATTTCCCGTAATACTCACAGTGGGCGACTCCTTCCCGATACAAACTCCACGGCCTGTCCCCAATGGGACGCCTTGTATCCCTATCGATAATGCTCACATCGATGCAGAATTAGAGGCTATCTACGCTTCTACAGACTTCAAGTTGCACGCCATTGATCTCCTTACAGGCGCTATTCGCATTCCGTGAGGACCACCATTTTCCTTGCACTGGTGCAACTTTTCATCACATTGTGCAGTACGGAATCTCACGACAATAGCGGCCCCGTGGGAGAAGATCCGGCATGGAATATTTTTGCCGACTTCCACGAATATTTGGAACGTGTGTTTCCGCTTGTGTAGGGTGTTTCAATCTGAGATAGCCAAGTCCAGTGTCTTACCATCGTCCTTTAGGTACACCAAGTTGGATGTGACGAAAATCAACACATATGGCCTTGTTCATCACTGGCAGGGTTCAACAGAGGTAAAACCCATTCTCCTGACTGCTCACCAAGGCTAGATATTTGACGTTCGTCGTTGGAGTGTCTCTGAATTCCCCCCTAGACGTAGTACCCGTCGATCCTACTACTGTATCACAGTGGATACACCCACCCTATTCGGGTCACTACGATGGTATCATCATCCTCATCCATTCGATCGCAGACATTGAGCACCTAGAAAGGCACCTGGATATGGGGACGTGGAGCATGTGACGACAAGTCGGAAATCATTGAGAGACTCATAGTTGTCGATTCTCTCTTGCGGCGTGGCTTTACGCCTACTCGCACTCTCGTCATCGCTCTTGGCTTCGACGAAGAGGCTGCAGGGGTTCAAGTATGATAGGGGTTCACCAGTTATCCTTTCTTTTCTGACGTGCTTTCAAACAGGGTGCTAGCCATATCGCAAAGTATCTGGAGGAGACCTATGGTCATAATGGCTTCGCCATGCTCGTGGACGAGGGTCGTAAGTAGCTCTTGTCTTCTCCAAGGAAGCTCACCGTCATGCTGTCAACGCTTAGCAAATGGCCTAGTGAATTTTGGAGATGGCTTCTACTTTGTATCGCCGAAAGTTTCTGAGAAAGGGTACTTCGACGCGCGCGTAGAGGTGGCTTCGCCTGGTGGTCACTCGAGCATTCCACCAGCACATACAGTGAGTCCGCCAAATGTCGACGCCGATGTACCTGCGCTGATGCCCTTCACCTGAACAGAGTATTGGCCTGCTTTCCCTTGCTATTTCAGCGATAGAAGCAAACCCACATTCACCTGAACTCCCGCGTAACGGAACGCATTTCTCAACTATCCAGTGCCTTGCAGACTACTCCCCATCATTCCCAGAGGAGTTGCGCAACCTTGCACACCGAGCGGTGAGCGATGATCGGACCTTGGCGAGATTGGAAGATGCGCTATCCGAGTTATCCCCTGCAATGAGAGCTATGATGGTGACCACTCAAGCCGTCAATGTCATTAAAGGTGGTGTAAAAGCTAATGCCCTCCCAGAAAGGGCCTCGGCGGTTGTCAACCACCGAATTACAGAACACAGGTAAGCCGAACGCACATTCAATATATTAACATCATGTCACACCGTCTGTAGCTCTGTGGCTGAGTTACAGCAGCACCTTATTGATGTTCTCTCGCCCGTGGCTGCTAGCCATGAGTTGACTCTTCGTGCTTTCGGAAGGGTCATGAAGACCGGTGACAGTGGAAAAATTATCATTTCCAATAATTCTGGTATAGCGCTTGAGCCCTCTCCCGTAACTCCTGTAGGGTATGGTCCATACTCGATTCTCACTGGGACCATCAAAGCAACTATAACAACTTCTAAGTTGTACAACGGCACGCCCATCATTTTAGGGCCATCCTTATCACTAGGCAAGTACATAGACATTTCTTTCTTCTGTTCTCCTTTGCATAACATTAACCATGGCCTCATTTCAGCAAACACTGGTACGTGGCGGCTGATTTCACCCGATCACTTAATCGATTCAAGTAATCTAGACACGGTATGGTACTGGGACTTGACAAAGCATATCTTCCGATCTTCTCTTGTTACCAAATCCGACTACTATAACGGCGTGCACACCGTGAACGAAGGTGAGTCTACATGCCCTCCAAACGGGATTCCCATGTGGCACGTTTTTAACTCCCACAATGCAGCGCTTCGTGCTGACGCGTACATCGAAGGAATACGGTTCCTTACGAAACTTATACTGAACGTGGATGAGTCCCCATTATCTTGAACGGTTCCACATCTACCAGGATGATTGCAGTTAATCTTTCAGGCTTAACAGCATGTAATGTGTCCATAAGTGTCACCATCACTGGCTGTTTGCTCATTCTCGCCTAAAATTATCATCAGTGTGTTGAATGTCATAGGAGTGGAAAGAGTGTGTGCAAGTCATTGTCTATGTAGGAATATTGGAAGCTCATATACATGACTGTCAAATACAGACAAGCTCAAACAAGCCATGCTTTGCAATGTATGCCACATTCTGCAGTCTGCACTCCCTGCTCATTTTCATGGGGATTGTGTGGCACACAAATGGCCTGCCTGCTGTGGCTGCTTATGTGAATGATGTAACATCTGTTAAGTTTTCCTGCAGTAAGTTGCTGATCATGAGGAGGCACCTATTTGCAAGTCAAGTCACTAATGTGTCTTGATCATAAGGGTTGTTCATGAGCATCATGGAACATCACTTAGCCAATGAACTGAAACACGAGGCAGACTTTGAGATTGGGGCATATGGTCCAGATTTAACATTGCTTGCATTGGAAGATGAAATCTCACCCTGATGGAGGAGGTATCAGATGAAAGAGGGGAGAGGGAAGCAGTTGACTCCAAAGATGACTTGTTGGCCATCTTGGCTGCTTCAATTACTGTTGACACTTTGCAAACAGATGGGAGTGAGCACAGTGACTCTGAAGATGATTTGTAATACAGTAGTAAGTGACATTTTTGACAAGCATCACTGTATCTCTAACAACACCCTAGCTTCAAGTTTAAGCATGTTTCATTAGCAGGTTTCTCCAATATATATGTGTTGTACATCTGAAATTGCCATACATTCAAATTAAGAAAATCAGTGAACCCAATCCATCTGCAATCATGACAAGAACACCATGTGAACTCCTGTTCTTCACTAACCATCATGAGCACTTCATCAAGGGGAAAGCAAGGGAACAAGGTGAGTACCCCATCATCTATAAAACTGTCCTTCAAATGATTCTAATCTATTTAATCTAATTCAGATGAAAGAGAAGTTTCTTGAGAACTCTGGAATGAATCTGTCTGGAAACTCAGCAGCAACCCAGATCAACCTTGCAGAGGAGCAATCTGTACCAGCACCTGGCATAAATGGCAGCAGCAATTCAATGCCAAAACTTACTATCTGAACAGTATTGACAGTGATCAAGAAGATTTGGGTACCTTCTATCATTGGGCCCTCCTCATATGCCATGCAACCAGCTCTCACCAGCACACCTGAAGTGTCTCATTCTCATTCCTACCCATATGTCCAACAAGGGCAGTGTGGTGGGTCCACATTGGGTCCTTACACATACCTCTGACCTGAGCTTGACTATGCCCTGCCCACACTTGCTGCAAGGTTTGTGCACTCAGTGGCCCCTTGCCTTACTCCATACAGTGTACCATTGCAGCACACCAAGTTAGCACAAGGGTGGCTTTGGCCTGGAGAAATGACACCAAATGAAGCACAGGAGGTCCATGAAATCACCATCAATGCAAGAACTGGTCTGAAGTGAATTCTACTATCACAGAATCTCCTTCCTGACAGTAATGAGCTCATGACAATGATCAAACAGGATCTATATGATGCAGCAATACCATATGATTGAGATATGTAAGTATCTTATCAATACATGATCTCTGACCACTGATATTTCTTACAGCCAGTTTCAAACACTGGCTGGAGCACAATGCCATGAAAGAAATGAAAAAACTTCAAGATATCACAACAAACATCTGCAATGACTTCAAGAATGTTGCATGCATCTTAGTGCCCCTGCTATATAGACTAACCATCCATATACAATCTTGTGGACAAGAAGTCAGGTTGTGACAAGAACAGATACCCATCCTTTGTTCCATATATATGTGGTTGGATGAAGTTCTAATGGTAGGCCTCATCTTACAGTCCCAACATGCCCTGACTGTTTCATCTCAGAATGAGTATGGTACAAGCTGGGTGCCTTTCAGCCTCCCAGCCCTCATTCAAACTGTGGTCACCCTGCTCTGGGGTAACAAGCAATGCAAGTGGTATCTTGACATTAATAGAAATTCTAGTACATAGGAGATATGACAAGTAATAGAATAGTGTCTTTGCACAAGTGGCTGTGCTGCCTTGCACCTTCTCTCTCTCCCCACTATCATCAGAATTCAGCCCACAGCACAGGCCTCACCTTGTTCCTTTTCACAACCCTGGTCACTCTGCTCCTTTGAACACTAACTGCATTATTCCCTAGTTTCCATTGAGAAACTCACTATCAGTAATCAGATCTCCCCATTTTGAACCACAAACATGGATGCCCCCCATCCACAGCAACAATTCTGACCAGATTTCATGCTACCAGCCTTCCAAGGTGTGGTCAACCTCATGATGGCGGGAGGAGACCTGACCTCTGAACAGGCCATCAGAGCCCTGGAAGCACATTGGGACCAGGAAAACCCCCAGGGAGATGAGCAACATGGAAACCAACCACAACAGGGAGAAGAAAGAAGGTCACCACCACCCAATGACCCACCACAACCACCAGTAGCAGAACCTGACTGCCCCCCCCCCCCAACAAGTCTCAGAGCAGAACCCCCCCACTTTTGACCCAGATGCCATGGTATTGTCAAACCTACCAATGCAGCCAGTAGAGTATGCCATCAAGAAGATAGAATCCTTCAAATTCATCCACATGTGGTACTTCACAAGAGAGGGCCTCCAGGAAGCCACATGAACAGTGAGATGTCTCAAAGAGAATGACACTTTGGCCATCACCCAGGCTGGCAAAGGAAACATCACACTACATGCAGCAAATTCACTCACTGCCTCCAAAAACACCAGGCCAGACCACAACCTTTCCTTTGCTGAATATATGTATGCCAAGAACCACTTCCTTACCTGCATCAAGAATGCAGGATAGGGTAACCAGTTGGTGGATGCCTTCAACTGGTTTTTCCACAGGATTGACAATCACCACTGGCAAGATCAAGGCAATCATGGAGAATGTGCCCTTCTCCACTATGCCTCCAAGGTCAGGCAGGACTGGCATGACAAAGTGGTACATAACCAAGCCTACAAAATTGGAGTGATAAATGAAGAGCTACTGGCAGACATCATCATCATCAGCAAATTGTCAAGTCCCTGAGACATCTGGCCACAGATATCACAGATACTTTCAGGGGAGGCAGCCATCTCAGTCATGACAGATAAATGTATGAAGTCATGCATGTACCTTTCTGCCTCAGACAGATTTACCTGTCCACAGGTTGATCAGACTGCTGTCAGACTGTTACAGATGGAGGTGTAGTCTATACATCTGTCCTAGTCAGATCATTCAGCAGACAATACCAGACTTGAATACATTCTTTGTCAGACTGGCTACCATACCCTCTCCAGGTTCTTAGATCAGACAATCAGGTCATACTGTGTGTACATAGCAACAGTTCCAATCAATGCATCAGAACAATCAGATGATATTTATTTTAGTCTTCGAAGATCACACCCTACCTACCACAGGTAATCTACTTCAGCATGGTAATTACTCTTCATCCTATGATTCACAAATAAATTAGTCCAGCATCGATTCCAGGACCTACTCGCATCAAGGAAAGAAAGCATACCTCCAAGAGCTTGATGTCAGATGACACCACAATCTGCACGTGGTCATCTTGGTATCCTGCATCTGGGGTGGCTGCCCTTGCTCAGCTTCCAGTGGTGCAATGGTGCAAACCATGGGACTGCTGGGCCTCTGCAAGGATTTCCACATATTTCCTCTTCTTGATCCTTTGATGGACTCAATATAATAAAGTATCTTGGTCCCCCAATGAGTCTCTGAGAAGCTCAGCTCAGATTTCTTCATAGCCACATCCTTTTTGCCAGTATGATACATATGTAATGTGTGCTTGACCTATGAAAGCAGAGTCAGTGATCTCAAACTCTGGATATTTGATTTGAGTGAACTGCAGTGACTGTGAGGACGAGTGTGCTGTGTGGGTTGTCATTAGTGAACACAGTGTATAGCTCAGAATTGCCTTCAATAAGAGCAAGGAGAGACAAGTGGGCTGCAAACATCTGTAGTATGAGAGGAGTAAGGAATGCCTTCGACATCTACAGACCCCAGGAGATATCCTCAGCAGCTTATAAACCACAAAGTTCAATGCCACCTACCAGAACAATGTCATTCTCATAATGGTCAATTTTCCCATAAAGGAAAGGAAGTCTAGGACCTAGTGCATACTCAACATATGCTTTACAGTCCTCTGGGTCAAAGTATTTCTTGTCTGAGGCCCAGAGAGCTTCCATGGCTTCTAATGTGGCTTTTCTGAGTGCCTTATGCCAGTCATATATCTTTTGCATGCACTATCATATTCATGAAGTATTAGTGATACCCATCTAAGGATGCAGGACTTATGAGACAGTAGATGAGTGTTGGAACATAAAGTGCCCCTGTGGTACTTGACCACTGTCACAGTGAGTTTTCCACTATATAGTACCCTGTTATATGTAAAATACAATATGTCAATCTCACACTTAGGGTTTGTGATGGCATACTGAAAAAATCCATACTTGAAGTTTAGATCCTGTTCTACAAGTTTACTCAGGTTTGAAGTCAGAGCAAATGTCTAATCATTGTGTAAACAATAAGTATGGTTGAATAGCAGATGTTGTCCAAGATAGGAAGTTATGTCAACACATGCAGTGTGGGGTGAAACTTTAAGTTTTGTCCTAATTTGCATAACTGACAATACACAAAGTACTGCCAAGATTCCAGTAACAGATTTTACTTCAAGTCTAGAATTAGTGTTCCTACATGTGCTTGCACTTGAAGTTTCACCACTGTCCATACTAATTGCCTGACAGTCACCTGTTCATTGCCCAATGATCACCCTGTGGTCACACAACAGTTGCCCAGTGTGATCATCCTATAGTTCTTGTAGCTATTGTTACATGGTTGTCATATTTCCCTAAGTAGATCCTACAATTTTTCTTCCATGATGCCTTGACATTTGTCAGTCCTATTGTTGCAAGAATTCAACAGTCAAATCAGAGTGGCATGAGACAGAGCTTCACTCACTTGACTCAATGTAAGAATGACAACATGGTTATCAGATATCAGCCACCATGCATAGTGACCCATGATACCTCAACTTTCTCCAGTGTTGTGGAAAGCATGTGGCTGTAGGTCTTTTCTGGGAAATGTAGGTAGCATGCAAAGGGGTCATTTGTGCCTTTGTTCAAAACATGGGGACACTTCCAACAGACAGCAAATGCAGACCATCCATTCTGTTCATATATGTATTTGATGCTTGCAGGAACTGGAGGCAAAGATCAGTTGCCTGACAGGTGAATCAGAGCAAGTACCACAGGAACCAGAGGTGAGATCCATCACCTGATGTGTGAAACATAATCAGAGAGTTTCCTACATGAGTGGCAGTGCAGCTATAGACCACTCTGCCATATCTGATATGGGCCTGCAGCATCACATCCTGCTTATGAATGAAGTTGTACAGGTCTGGAGGGGTAGCAGTGTAGGGAATGCAGACCTTTTCCCTATGAGAAATCACTCTGGTGTGTTGAAGGGAAGGTTTGAGGATGGAGAGTGTAGGTGAGGGTCAAAGAGGGTTCAGACTTAGGGGTTGTGGCTGAGGGAACTTGATGTTGAAAGGTTGAGAGCTGACTAAGCACATGGGTGGTCATGGCATGTGCCACATCACATAGAGACTACAGTACAGCATGGACAAGGATTACTGTACTACACATCACTGTCTACTCTGTGTCCTTCTTTGGAGAGCAAGAATCACTGCTTCAGCTCCTTCTGCCAAGTTCTTCTTTGCAGTCTAGAAAATCCTCCCAGGCAAGTTCCCTTTTTGTTCATCTAAATTACTTATTCTGCATCCAGACTGAAGCCCCTTCAGGGTTGACCCAACTCGAGCAGAGCCTACCTCTCTGGAGTTGGAGTTCTTGGCCATCAGAAAACAGTTTCCCTACAACTTGGAGCCCACCATGAGGGGCTTCAACCAACAACCAGGAAGTAAAGTGCAACCTCAGGCAAATGGCAGCTAGGGTTGCCCACAAGGAGAGACACAAGAAAGTGAAAGAAGCACTCAAATCAAGGAAGAAAGCAATGCCTCCCCATTTAGCTAAGTCATCTCTAGGGAAGCTCCCCACTGAAGTTCCTCTTCCAGAATCCCCAGAACCAGAAGAGCCAAAACAGACCCGAGAACCTGGTTTCACAGAATATCAAACACTGGCACCAGTTATTGGATCAAACTCAGAAACATCATTTGGTTTGACAGAAGAAGCTGTGAAGCTCCTACAAGAACCACCTTCACCACTCATGGAATTACCCCTCACAGTATTCATAGAGGAGCCTGAAGACATTCCATTTTCCATTCCTATGTTTACAGGAGAAAAAGTTGACACTACCAGCTTAGAGGACATGTACAAAGCGATCTGGGATGATGGGCAACTGATGAGCTCATTGAAGTTTGCAATGCCTAAGAAGGAAAAGGAAGAAGAGTTAATACCATTTATGACCTACTGGGACAAGGGAAAGGAAAGGGTGACAGAGCAGTTGCCAGACAGAATCTATGTCAATGACCCAAAAGTTGCAGTCCACTGAGGGTGGACCAGAGAAAGGTCAACAACCAGAGAAAGGTCACCCTCAAGGATGAGGATGAGGGTGAAGTCAAGACATAGGTCAGGACATAGGGAGAGGTCATCCTTGAGGTTGAGGTCAAGACACAAGCCCAGGTACAGATTGACTTCCAGGTCAAGTTACAGGACAAGGCACAGGTCAAAGTCCCATCACCACAGACATAAAAGATTGGACAAGTTGAGAAGTAGACACCATAGGAGGTCCTACTCCATGGACAGTTAATTGAGTGACTCAAGTGAGGAGGAGGAAAGAAGAAGAAGGTATTACAGGCACAAGGAGAAAATGCATGAGAAGGAAGTTGCTCGAGGTACAGGTCTCTGTCTACAGAAGCACAGGAGCCAAGGAGGAGAACAGCCCAGCCAGAAGAACTATCTGAGGGGCAATGTATCCTTAGGCTTCTTGGACAAGGCACCCTTGCATCTGACAAACCCAAGCTGCTTGAGAAAATTCACTCTAGGTCTTCAGACAAAGCACCCAAGTTTTCAGGGAAAACAGCCAATCTGGTTTGTTATCTGGAAGAAATTCATCACCTGTGTAAGAAGGCAGGGTGTACAGATGAGTACAGGTGGCTGAAGTGGACTATCTGGTATCTGGACAACCATACAGTGAACCTGTGGACACAACTCCTGGAAGAGATGACAGGTAGATGGGACAAGTTTGTGCAAGTGCTGGTGAATGTGTACCCTGGTGCAGGAGAATGAGAGAAGAGATACATTAAAGTGGACCTGATTGATCTTGTTTGAGCACAGTCCAGGAAGATTATAGCAACAGAAGAAGACCTTGGAGAGTACCTTTGGCAGTATGAGACCATTGTGGGCTATCTCACCAGACACTACAAGCTCACCCAAGAAGACTACAACAGTTACTTCTGGGAGGGCTTGGACCTGGAACTTCAGAAAGATACACTTGAGAATTTGAAATTTAGGAACAGTTTATGTGATTTGGATGAACCCTGGCCTATGAACAAGGTCATATGAGAAATAAAAGAGTTGCTGAGGGATGGATACCATATGACAAGAAGCTGTGCTGTGAGGAGGGGCATCATTCAGTTATCACCCAGGGAGGAAGCCAGGAGGATAGTGCACAAGTTAGTCCAGAGACAGCCTCAGGTTTGAGTGGAAGCACAGGCCCAGTGAAGGGCAGCACCTGTACAGGCCAGAAACATTGTTGAAGGAGCACATGAGCTGCCTTGAGAAATAATCTGCTTTTTCTGCTTCCTTCAAGGACACCACACAAGGACTTGTTGCATGCTGGAAAGGTATTGTGCAGCTGGCAGGTGTGTCATCAAAGACAATAGGGTAAAGTTCAATGACAGCATGCATGTTCCTCAGACAGATGAGCTGATGTACCAGTTGATAGATGAGTGGATGGCAAGAGACAGGAGGAGGAGAGAACAGCAGCAAGCACCCATCATTTGTATTGAGCATGAAGAGGAACCTCCAACAAACACAAATATGTTTGTAGCAGTGCACAATGCTTTCCAATACATTGAGAGAGCTAGGATCAAAGAGCTTGCTTCAGAAGGAGAGGACATGGCTGAGGAGGTCATCTTGGAAACAGAGTATGAAGTGTGACTGGCAGAAGTAGAACAAGCATTTGCAGCAGCACAAAGGGAAGAGAATAAGCTGCAGCAAAAGGCCCTGAAGTTTGATAGAGTAGTGGTACCTGGAAAAGAAAGATGTACAGCGACCATGACAGCAGAGCAGGCAGGACCTAGTTGGTCCAGCTTGACAGATGCTCCTGAAGCAAGTTCGAAGGATAAGGGAAAGCAACCAGACAGAAGTGCTGGCAGGTCACTAGGACCTACCTCTATGCCCAACAAGCAGCAGCATGGCATGGAAGATCAGGATGCAGGAAGGAAAGGCTATAGGTATACAAGTCTGTTCAAAGACCCTACAGAAGTGATGAGGGTTTTGAACCAGTACCTGGACCAGACCATTGTGATTCTAGGAAGAGATCCACTTGCTATAAGTCCAGATGTTAGGAGGGAGTTCAATGACCAAGCAATGATGAAGTGAGTAGTGCTTGGTGCTACCCTCTCAGGCATGTTGGGAATGCTGGAAGGGTTGGTGCAGTTGAATGACATGAGGGATTTTGAGTGCAGTATAGGAGAAGAGAGGTTTGCACAGATGGATTTAATGCCACTTACAATGGTAGAGGTTGAGCTAGCTGGGAAGGTCATGCTCAAAGGGATCCTCAACAGTGGTTCACAGATAGTGGCTTTGCGACAGGAAATAGCTGAAGTTCTGTGTCTCCCCATTGAGAGAGATAGCTGAATCATTATGGAAGCTGCAAACCAGTCAAAATATGAAACACTGGGCCTGGTGTGAGATGCTTCACTCAGGATCAGTCCAGTGGAAGTGGAAGTGCCAATTCAAGTCATCAAGTTGGCCCCCTTCAATATCCTCCTGGGCAGGCTGTTCCTATGTGTGATTTGGGCTAGGACACAAGACTTTAGGAATGGGCAACAGACTCTTGAGTTTACAGATCCAGAGACAGACAAGAGGATCCAAATATCACTGCAACCCAGAAGGTCCCTCACACAGTTCCCTCAGTTTAGGGATGTGGTTTTGCAGAGGGAGTATGTTCAGAGGATAGGGTGCAAACCCCATAGGATGCAATGTCGACCTCAGGATGAGGGTTTTTAGACTTCATCTGGGACTTGAATAGCCAGTGAAGAGACATTTTGATGGGATTGGCCACCCCTGTCAGGCTGGGGTATCTTGCTCAGCCTATAGCAGCATATAAGAACAAATCAAGTACATATGTCTTGGACTTTGACTTGCAGTTTCAAGATATAACTGAAAACTGAAAGCAAGAATTGACATTAGACATAGAGGTGACCAGCCATAGAGTTCCTTTTAGATTGAGCATGAATGATGCACTGACTTTTCCCACAGGTATAGAAATTGAATCACAAGTTGTTTATCATAGAGACACAGGACAGTATCAAAGGGAGGAACTCTCCCATAAGGGATGCAGAGAAAGAGGAGTGGATAGGAGCATTGAGGAAGAAGATTGAAGTGAAGAAATAGAGATTGAATGCCCAGGGGCAAGAATGGAAGGTAGAAAGGTGATGTTTGTGATGACAGAGGAGGACTTTGAGTCCTTGGGTTTACATTTTGAATCTTATTCAGTAGAGAGTCTGACCACCAAGCTACAGGATGAGGAAGAGTGGATAAAGCAGGTGATGAAGTACAAACCTGTGGCAAAGAAGGTTTGGCTGGTTGCAACAGAGACACTGGCAGAGTTTAGAGTTGAGAGAAGAGAGGTGGGGGACCCATTGGCTAACCTCCCCCAGATACCAGTTATTCCCCCAGAGTTCACACCCAGGGAACAACTTACCCAGGAGTGAGCAGACAAGTTTGAATGGGACCCAGGCAGATGTTTATGGCCTGAGGAACTCAAACTAGTCAAGTGGCTAGTATGAGTCCATGAGAAGGCCTTTGCTTGGGACATGAGCAAAAGGAGGACATTCCAAGAAGACATGTTCCCACCTCTCAAGATTCCAATGGTTCCACACAAGCCATGGGTAGATTGGAATATCCCCATTCCACTGGCAATCTATGGAGATGTCATGCAAATAATCAAAGAGAAGATTGCAGCAGGAGTTTATGAACCATTGACTTCATCTCATTGATCGAGATGGTTTTGCATAGTGAAGAAGGATGGGAAATCACTGCAGCTGGTCCATGACTTACAGCTGCTCAATGTGGTCTCAATACAGGATTCAGGAGTTCCCCCACATGTGGACAGTATTGTGGAAGAATTCACAGGACACACAGTGTATGGCATGTGCAACCTTCCTTATGGCCTTTCAAATGCCAACCAGCACATTCAGGTTGACCAAACTCCCCATGGGCTACATGAACACTGTACAAGTGTTCCAGGGGATGTGTCATTTACACTCAGGGAGGAAACACCAGAAGTAACCATGCCATTCATTGATGACATACCAGTAAAAGGACAGTGATTGAGGTACATGTGAGAGGATGGAACATATGAAATGATCAAAGGGAATTTGGGAATCAGGAGGTTTGTATGGGAGCACCTTGTCAATACTAATCAAGTTCTACAGTGCCTTGAGCACATTGGAGCTACTGTCTCTGCAAAGAAATTTGCAGTGGCAATCCAGTCTATCACTGTAGTGGGACACAAGCTTTCATATGAAGGCTGAATACCCAATGAATCCAAGGTGCAAAAGATTTGAGATTGGCCCTATTGCAAGAATGTCATGGAAGTGCAAGGTTTCTTAGGCCTCTGCAGCTACTGTTGCATCTTCATTTGAACTATACAAAAAGGGAAAAACTGTTGATCAAATTGACCAAGAAGGGAGTAGTCTTCAGATTTGACAAAGTACACAAAGCAGCAATGGATGACTTGAAGGATGCACTTGCCAACTTGCCAGCATTGAAACCAATAGATTACAAGTCAGGATGGTGTGTCATTCTGGCTGTTGATACCTCACACATGGCAGTAGGCTATCTACTTTTACAGGTCAGAGAAGATTTGAAGCATTATCTGTCAAGGTTTGGGTTGATCACATTTGATGAAAGGGAAAGTCAGTATAGCCAGGTGAAGCTAGAATTGTTTGGTCTATTTCATGTGCTTCAGGACATACACAACCACATATTCAGAGTCAAAGATTTAGCTGTGGAAGTTGACATCAAGTATATCAAGGGTATGATCAATAACCTGGACCTGCAACTGATTGCAACCATCAATTGATGGATTGCTGGTATACTCCTCTTTGAGTTCAAACTGATACACATACTGGTGGAGAAGCAAGAGGCCCAGATGGATTATCAAGGAGACCTCAAGCAGATGAGGATCCAGAACCAGAGGATGATTATGAAGACTGGATTGATGAGGTAGGATCATTTGCAGTTGAACTCCTCAACCCTCAGCATGGTGAACAAGAAGAAGCCTTTTTCCAAAGTCAAAAGATTGCATGGATCCCCTATGTTGGAGAGCAGAGGTCAGAGAAGTCAAACAAAGTGACTGAGACCCAGGTGGTTTTATCACAGGCATCAGGGATAGATGCTACCACTGATATAGAAATCCCTAGGACAGAGAAAGGGAAGTGGCAAGATGAATGGTTGGAGGTAGTTTGCAAGTTCCTTGAGGATCAACAGTGACCACCTGGAATGTCAGACTTAGAGCTGAACTTGCTAATCAAGTACATGGTGAGATTCTTCTTGAAGAATGGAGAACTATGGCACTGAGAACTGAGGGAACAGCATCAAGTAGTACCTGCATATGAGAAGTGCTTGGAGCTGATGAAACAAGTGCACAATGATTTGGGTCACAAGGGAGTGTTCCATGCTAAGTCGAGATTACTGATTCACTTTTGGTGGCCATTGCTAGATTGAGATGTATGATGGTTCCTCCATACCTGCCATGAATGTCAAATTTGATGCATGGACAAGATACATATCCCACCTGTGGTAGCCATGCAGGAGCTCTGTTTTACAAGGCATACATGGATTCAATGGTGATGCTGAAGTTGAATGGGTTCCAGTACATTGTACAAGCTAGGTGTTCTCTGACTTCGTATCCCAAGTGGCAGATGCTGCATGCAGAGACAGGACAAACCTTAGGTTGATTCATATTTGAACAGATCCTGTGTCAGTGGGGTGCCATGGGGGAGATTGTCACAGACAATGGTTCTGTGTTCAAACAAGCCCTTGCCTACCTTGCAAAGAAGTACAATATCAGGCATATAAAGATCTCAGCATACAATTCTCAGGCCAATGGAGTTGTTGAGTGAAGGCATCTAACCATTTGAGAAGCTCTTGTCAAGACTTGTGAGGGCAAAGTGGGCAAATGGTCATTGTATGCACTGTCAGTGTTCTGGGCCAAAAGGGTGAGGACACAAAAGTTGACAAAGCTTTTGCTATATCAGATGGTCCATGGGATTGAGCCAAGGTTGCCATTCAACTTTGCTGAAGCGACCTTTCTGACAAATTGGGACAAGGATAAGTATTCAACCAAAGAACTGATATTGCATAGATGCCACCAGCTGCAGTGAAGACAAGAAGACTTACAGTGGGTTTGTCAACAAATATACAAGGCACAGTGCCAGACAGCAAAGGAATTCAAGTGGAGGGTAAAGGGGTCAATATGAAGCTATGAGTTTGAACCAGGAGCACTAGTCTTAGCTCACAATATGAGAGTCAAAAAGGAACTTGACTGCAAGATGAAGCCAAGATACTTAGGCCCCATGGTAGTCATCAGGTGAACTGAAGGAGGCTCCTACCTATTAGCTGAGCTTGATGGCTCAATTTCTCAACTTCAATATGCTGCATTTCACTTACTCCCTTATTATTCTAGGAAACAAATCTTGATAGCAATAAAGGAACTCATGAAACAAAGCAAGGAAGAGCTGCACAAGCTCGAAGAGGAGTCAATAGAGGATGAATTGATCCCTGAAGCCAAAGACATCTTGTGAGAAGAGGACATTGAAGGGAGCAAGTCAGGTGAGAGTATCTGAAACCTTCAGCTGTAGATATCAGTGTGCTTGTTCAACTGAGGCACTTCAACTATCAGCTCAAATTTGAGCATAATTTGGTGTGACCAGCATTGGACTTGTACCTTTAGCAAAAAAAAATATGTCACAGCTTTTGAACATTTGATAAGCACTGATCAATTCTGTGTTGGACAGGACTGTACATGAGGTACAATGATGGGGCTGTTGAAGCCCAGAAACAAAATAATGCAAGCTACCTAGTCATGTGACTTTCTTTTGCCCAGTGCCTTCTTGGATGTGACATGGCCCTTTGAGGCCTGGTCCAACACTTCAGTCATGGTGCAAAGGGATTCGTGAAGCATGACCAGCATCTCAGCATTGGAGAGTGAAGGCAGCAAGGAAGGGGAACTGGAGGTTGAGGTGATTGGAGCCAAATTGGAGGAGGATGCACCAGAAGTCAAGGGAGGAGGAGTTGGACTGGGAGATGGAGACTTGATGTGAGCACATTTTGAAGCATGAGCAGGCCTTTGGGTGATTTCAATGATGGGTTTGGCAGGGTACCAAGGAGGAGTGAGAGCTGGAGGGGTAGAGCCCATGCAAAGCACCTGGACCCAGGCTCAGGACTGTGCTGAGCCATTCTAGGGCAGCATCAACAAGAGGGCTTTTAGGTCGAAGAGAGAGGAGGAAAACACACACATATAAAGGGCAGGTATAATGAAGTTGGTGGCTGCACACACACTTGAGCCCTAGGGCTCCAGAACAGACAGCTCAAGCAACACAACACCAGTTGCAAGGAATGGGTGGGTGGATAGGAAAGCCACTGTCCTTCGAAGTGCACTCAATGAGCTTGATGTGCCAATCCAGCCAGTAAACATGCCATTGGAGACCAGATTCCCCAAGATGGTCCACATTCTGGACCTTGAGAAGTCAGCTAAGGAGCAAAGAGGGATGAAAGAAGTTAAGGCTCACTGAAGGGCAATCAAGGGATGTGTGGCCAGTCAAGGGAGAGTCAGCAGGAAGATGGTCTGGGCCAGGCTCAGAGGCATTGAGCACCTGGTGAGTGGGTGTGGTAGGATCTGCCAGCGTGGCAGCATCTGAGATAGAGGTTGGATAGTCAGGTGAAGTGGTTGGTGTGAGAGGAGATGGAGGGTCCAGAGGACCAGGGAGTGAAGGGAGAGGGTGTGCAAGACAGTGTGACAGTGGACATGGACATGGACATAGATGATGGGATGTCTGGGAGCATGTCAAAGGTTGGAAGATCAAGAGCAGGGCTAGGGTCCAGTTCTTGGATGATGACAGTCACAGGCATGGGCTCCATGGGGGTGTGGTCAACCAAGGCAGTGGTGGCCACAGGTGCCAGTTTGTCTTGAATGACATCAACAGGAGGAACATTGACTGGTTGCATGGGGGAGATGATGGCTTGGGGCTTGGAAACTGGAGGAGGTGGCAATGGTCCCTAGGGTGATGGGTAGTGTCAATGGAATGACAGTCAAGAAAAAAAAAAGGGAAAGGGAACACACCATGAGGGATGCCAGTTGTGCCAGCAATGCATTCCTTGACTCAGTCCCACCCTATGATGATCCCAGTGGAAGCTGGAGGACAGAGGTGGCATGTGCAAGGTTGTCAGCTGGGATGCCAACATTGGGAGATGGGTTGTTGGGATTGGACAACATGGGAGTGAGGGCAAGAAAAAGATGAGTGAGGAAAAATGGAGGGAATGTGCAAGGTGGCTTAGATAAGAGGAAGGGGAGAGCAGTGGGAAGTTGATCAAACCAGATCAATCATCACTGGAAGTCAGAACCTTTGCTTGATGCAGTGGCAGTTTTATGGCCTCAACACACACAAAGAGCCATAGCACTCTTGTTATATTCTTGTTTCTTTTTCCAGATGCTACAAACTCAAGGTGAAGTGCTTTTTATGATTTGAGTGTATACTATGTTGAAATGTCTTGTTTTCAGCATTTGGAAGGCAGAGAGTGAGAATGGAATGCTCTCAGAGGTATATAGACAAATGTGTCACTGATGGAGTCTACAGGTACATATGAAGAGACAGGGATACTGGAAATGCAAGTCAAAGGCTGCTGATATCATTATGCACCACAACATTCACTCCCATGCATGATGCATAAATCCAGGAGTTGGGAGAGGGGCCAGTGTACCATAGAAAGAATGTGGTGTAGAGCAGAGGAAGCCTCCCTGGGTTCAAGTATATAATAGTCTTCAAGCTGGGTCATATGGACAGAGGGTCACTACCCCAGCCACCATGCTGTGTGAATACCCTGTTGCCATTCTACTGCTGGCTGCATTTCAATGAATTGTTCCTACCTCGCTCCACACTTGATTTATCACTCACTTGTTTGCTCATTCAAAGTGCCTTGATTGTCATCCAGGTAAGAGGTTAGCTTTGGAGATGTGGAATATTGAGGGCATGAGGTGAGGGAGAAGGTACTGGAGAGTTGGCTATGAGGAATCTTGGGCACTTCAGTCAACCCCCCTTGGAGACCTATTAGGTCTGGAGATTTTGATATAAGTATTAACCTAATAGGTGTCATTTTGTTGGGGATTCTCCACCACCCTTCCTGGAGATTCTCCAGGGCAGCAATTTAATATGGTTGGAGAAAATGTTTTCTCTGTAATATATATATATTATACATCAAATGAAAGGGTAGCTGGGGACCAAATTGGACTTTCTCCAGGCTAAATAGACCCCCTTTCCAGGTAGCTACCCTTTCATTTGATGTATAATATATATATATTACAGAGAAAACATTTTCTCCAACCATATTAAATTGCTGCCCTGGAGAATCTCCAGGAATGGTGGTGGAGAATCCCCAACAAAATGACACCTATTAGGTTAATACTTATATCAAAATCTCCAGACCTAATAGGTCTCCAAGGGGGGTTGACTGAAGTGTCCTGGGGGCATTGGTGAGAGTAAGGGAAGGGTTTGAAGAGTGCAGTGTGGACTCGAGATTGAAGGGACACGTTGTTGGAGGAAGAGGGGGTTGAGTGTGGGGTGGAAGGTAGCACAGAGCAAAGCAAGTGAGGGGAAGGCAAGGAGAGTCAGAGGGTGTGGGGTGTGAAGAAGGGGTTAGTGAGGATGGGTATGAAGCCAAGGACATCTATGCAGGGAGAGGGGATGGATGAGGATGGTCATCATCTAAACCCCCCCTTGGATGTAGGGAATGCAGACCTTTTCCCTATGAGAAATTGCTCCTCTGGTGTGTCAAAGGGAAGGTTTGAGGATGGAGAGTGTGGGTGAGGGTTGAAGAGGGTTCAGACTTAGGGGTTGTGGCTGAGGGAACTTGGTGTCGAAAGGTCAAGAGTTGACTAAGCATGCAGGTGGTCATGGTGCATGCCATGTCACATAGAGACTATGGTACAGCATGGATGAGGATTACTGTACTATGCATCACTGTCTACTCTGTGTCCTTCTTTGGAGAGCAAGAATCACTGCTTCAGCTCCTTCTGCCAAGTTCTTCTTTACAGTCTAGAAAATCCTCCCAGGCAAGTTCCCTTTTTGTTCATCTGAAGTACTTATCCTGCATTCAGACTGAAGCCCCTTCAGGGTTGACCCAACTTGAGCAGAACCTACCTCTTCTGGAGTCAGAGTTCTTGGCCATCAGAAAACAGTTTCTTACAGCAGTTGACTTCCTTGTCTGGGAACAATCAGATTCATATTCATTGTCATTGCCATAAGCATGATCTAAGAGGACCTTGCATTCTTGGACTGCATTGGGACAGTCCAGGCAGGAGAGCCAGCTTTGGAGGCATGCACCCCTGAAATAGGAATGTAGCATTGTTGCCTCCAATTCACCTGTATGAAATGAGAATAATGTCTTCCCAAAACTGACATTGTTTGACTCACCAGATTTGTGGTTGGTGGGGAGACACTGGAGAACACTGATTAAGTGCTTGAAAGGAAAGGTCCACCATGAATGGACAGGTCCAAAAAGGATAAGGTAGTCATGTATATGAAAGGCAGCATGATGATTTGGACACAAGTTGAATGTTGGATGTACTTGTTTCAGGTTCCCAACATAACATGCAATGTATGAGCAGTATGCATTAGCCCTTTGAGTACTCATTATCTGGGAGCATGTGATGTTGACCAGGGAAACAAGGTCCATAGTATGATCCAGAATAAACTTGTTGCCCAGCTTCAGTTCATCAACATCAGGTGCTCCCCACAAGCTGATGAGGGCAAGAGAGATATGAACAGTGATGAGTGTCTGCCACTCATCTGCTTTAATTGTTCCAGCAGATGGATGGCCAAAGTAGGCTGGTGGTGAACTGAACCACAATGGCAGTACTGTGTTCTATATAACATTGCAGTTTGGGACACAACTTTTGGGAAGTGTGTGACTAGAGGAAAGCTGAAGGGAGAATTCCCTAGGTTCACCCCAAGGGGTGCTGCATGGAAGGAGAAATTGAGGATTACCCTAGAAGGGGGTGGGGAAATTCATGTGAGGTGCATGGAATTTAATTCTGGTGGCTTGTTGACATGCGAGCAATGGCAAGCTGGGTATACAGAATATCAAGAGACAGATATGTGACAAGAAGACAGGATCAGAGATACCAGGAAGGGTGTGATAGACTGGAAAACATGAGTAGTGTAGGGGAAATTAGAGACACTGTAGATGCTGTAGACTCAAAAGATGCTTTTAGACTCTAGGAACTCTTGAACTCACAGAACACACACAGATAGTGACTCCAAAGTGGGTGCTATATTTCTGACATTACAGAGGAATTATATAGTACAAGAAACATAGGTATGTGTTGGAGTAAAGTGGGGTGGAAAAACTAAAAGACCAGAAAATAAAGGAAAGGATGACAGACATCAGTGAAATACAGATGCATGTGAAATAGTCTGGTGAGTGGTAGATGAGAGTAAAACAGGACCATGGTAAGGTGTATCTTCCAATGGAGTGAGGGTACATGTACAAGTAAGAGGTGGAGCTGGCAGGAAGGGGAAGCATAGGAGGGCAGAGTGTACTGGCATGAAGTCCAGCTTGTGGAATTTGGGGCAACAGGGGCAACAGAAGTTTTTCCAGAGGCAACTGGCATGGATGAGTGGTGGTGTGGCTGGGCAGTGGCTTGGCTACTGACTTCTGGATGACTCTGGGTGGATGTGGAATTTCTGGATCAGCTTATTGATGACTGGGCAACATGCTGAAGGTCAGGAGAAACTCTGAAGGGGACAGGGGTTGGGAGGAGACATGAGGTTATGAGTGGGAAGACCTCCAAAAGCATCCAAAGGCATAGAGCAATAGGGGTTTGTCACAGAGGCCAGTGGAATTTAGTGACAGATTCCTGTTCCAGCCTCAGGGAGTATACAGCTCCCTACACCTCCCAGGGACTTCAAATGCTGACCATCCTTCATCAGACTGAACTGAGACATGACAGAGATGAGCACAGAATATCAGCAGGCATTATGTAACAATGATGGTGCATGGTCAGAATTCTGCCTCATGCAGAGGGAAATTCCACATTGTACAAGATGGCCCTGCAGAATTTAAACTCACCCAGAAGGTGGCTCACTGCTCATCAAACTCCCCCAACAACACTCTTGCTCATGTATCCTGTTTCCAATGTCTCATCTGCTCATCAACATGCAAGCCTACTTGATCCATGATGCATGACTGGTATTCTCCATGGAGGCCCAGGCCATAGCAGCACTCACAGGGGTGTTGAAATGCTCAGGCAGGATGATCTGGTCTGTACTGCAGCCAGAGGAGAGGCTGGAAATTATCCACAAGTGGGTAGACAAGTGGGATGTGACCTGGGTAAGCAGACAGTCATATGGGCATGTGAGGGATATGACAGAAACTCCACAGGCTGCCATGTACTCATGGTGAAAGTACATAGATGAGCACAAGATCATTGTGCCTGACCTTGATGGCCACCATCTCATGGAATTGTCCAAGCAGTTGGCATTCGAGGATGATGTCATGGTCACAGGAGCCATTGCAATAACAGACCTTCAACAACCCAAGGGCCAAAGGTGGTTTGATGTCAAGGATCTCTTTGAGGACTACCAGGAGAGGGTTGAAGAAAGGGCATAACGAGAGGCAAAGAGGCTGGCCCAGGAGCCCATGGCACATACTTGGGGTCAGGCAGAGGGAGGGCCAGGTGATACCAAAGCAGGGGGGTCATTGAGAGGAGCTATGTGTGTGACTGGGGTGGGCCCTGGTAATGTGAGCAAGGGAAAAGGGAAGGAGAAGATATGTCTGACATCCTTGACATCCCCAAGTGCAAGTGCTGACTTCAATGAAAATTCTGCTGGCCACCAACAAGGAGGATGAGCTTGCTGACAATGTTGATGAGGATGAGGATGAGGGCAAAGGTGAGCCTGCTCCTTCCACAAAGGGACCTCATGTGGCTGGAGACTGTGAGCCTTGCAAGGCATGTGCCCAGGTGGACCTCATGTGTGTTGGGGAGCTGGAGTGGTCCTGCAAACAGTGCAGGAACATGAAGTGCAAGTGCAAGTGCACTCATGGGGTAGGGAGAAAGGTGAGTACCATACAGGTTTAATTCCACAAGGGAACAAGTTAACATCACCTTCAGTGAAAGAACTCTGGCACCATTGGAGCAGCAGGGCCATCTCACAAATGAGTCAAATTGACTATGATCCCAATGGTGGTCCCCATGGGACCTATGACTGGTGTAAGTCAGGCATTTAGTGAAGCTAGGGACTCCTAGGGATGGATAGAAAAGGGTCAGGTTTGACCCAGAGGGACTCTGTGCTTGGATCAGTGAAAAGTGACAAGGGAGTGGATTGGAGTTGGGCAAAAGGAATGAAGTGGGGAAATGAGTAACAGTGTCTGGAGGTTGTCTGGGAGTGCCTCAATGAGGGCTTGTCACAGTCTTTCATTCACAGTCTTCACTTGTCACTGTCTCACAGTCTGGTTCCTCCTTTTCTAATTGTGTACTGTAGACCTACACTAGTGCGCAAAAATTGCTGACTAAGCTACCAAAAATGCGCCACACAGGTAGGCTAAGTATCACTAATGTAAATCAAAGCAAAAATACAGTAGAAAAGATAAGATAATTAAATCTCCTTAGTAGGGAGTACTTATTCCCTACACTGGACCTTCCAAGAAGCTCACACTGAGAATTCTGCCTCAAAAATGACAACCTGATCCAACCCCCACACACTTGCCTTCCCCAGAACTGACTCTTTCCCCTCATGATCCTTTGCCAACCCCTTGTCTCTTCTTCTGCAGGGCTACTCCCAAGCCCAGGCCATCATTCAAAGCCTCTTCACCCCTTGTCAACAAGCCTCAACTGTCACCCCCCAGCAAAGAACTGCAAGTCAAGTTCAAACCATTTTTTGCAACTGTGACCAGCTTACTAAATGAACCTGGAGATGTCGAAGTGCCAGTCCAGAGTGACACTCCATTAGTTGCAGAAACTCCAGAGGTCATAAACCCACATGAGTGGTCAACAGCAAACTTCATTGAGCATCTGCAAGTGCTTGAGGTGAGAGCTAAGGATGAGGAATTCAAGCTGGAGCAGGTCTACTGGCTGCTGGAGATGTTGGTGAGGCAGGTAACACATTGGATTGAGAGTGCATGGGCTAGGTGGGAGGAGTTGTGAAGGTTGAAGGATGAACTCCAGGACCTTTAAATGGTGTACTTGTGTCTGCAGAATTTTTTGTACTGGTATGTTCTGAAATTGTAAGAGTCTTTCATGCATTGGTATTAGTACTACAGTAAGGGAAGGAAAAATAAGACTTCTGAAGGAAGAAGTGTTGTGGAATTTTTTTTTTGACTGTTTCTTGTGAGCAGTGCAGATTTTATATATGAGATGAAATGGGTGTCAATAAAAGAAAGAATGGAAAAAGAAAAGAAAGGAGGTAAAGAGAAGGATGGACTACTCATCTGACTCATCCAAAGGGATGCCAGTGAGCATAGGGTCTGGGAACAAATCATCTTCAAGGTGATCCAGGTCTTGTGTGGAAGTGCCAGTCAGCTGGGTGACTTCAATATGAGCATTATTCTGTGGGAAATAGGGGCATAGGCAAAAGGCAGTGAAGTGGAATTTCAAGACAGCACCATCTAATTCCACAAGTATGTATGAGCTGCCTTTAGTGCATCAGACAATGATCATTGGTCCCAGGTAGCACAGTTTGGTTTTCTGGTTGAGTTCTAGTTCAATGTGGGAATTCCAAACAAGGATGAGTGACCCTGGTTCAAAGTTAAAGTCTTTGATAGAATGCACAAAATGATTGAGGAAATCCTTGGCTGATGTGAAGCAGGATTTTAGGACCAGATTGTGGATGCAAGCAAGGTCCTCCAGGTGTTTTTGGAGTTGGCAAGCATGGTGAGCAATGAGATCTATGGTTGAGTAAAATTCTGCTTTGAAAGGGGCTAAAAATGTTGCTTCGACTAGATCAAAAGGGAGTCTGGGTTCAACACCATGAGCCATATAGAATGGAGAAAACCTGGTTGCCTTGTAGACTGTAACCCTTTCTGCCCAAAATACTGCAGGGGCAACTTCTGACCACCTTGACACTTCCCCACTACAACTTCTTACCAGCACCTCTCTTACATCGAAATGCCACCATTTGACAACTTCATTAGCCTGTGAGTTATAAGGGGAGATGCATATGTGATGAATTCCAAAGGTCTTGGAGAGCCAGTTGAGAGCAAGGATGTATGGTCCCCCATTATCTGTGACAATCTCCACAACAGCACCCCAACAGCACAAAATCTGTTCAAAGATGAACTTTCCAATGGACTTGCTTGTCTCTGCACAAAGCATAGCCCATTCAGGGTAACTGGTGAGTGAACAGTGGGCTTGGGTGATGTAGTGAAAGCCATTTGACTTTGGCATTAAGAATGTGTCCATATATGCCTTGTAGAATAGGGGTTGGGAAATGGCAATGACTGGCAGAATATGAATGTGATCCAAATGGCAGATCTGGCACTTGTGGCATGATTTAACATACCAACAGATGTCCTGCTCTAGCATGGGCCATCAAAAGTGAGTCAGCAAACACATGCAGGTCAAGAAGATACCCTTGTGCCCCAGGTCATTGTGGGCCTGGTGGAGAATCCCAAGGCATTTGTGTGGGGGTACCACTAGTTGATGCCATCCCTGGGGATCCTTCCTCCACAGTTCCCTTCCTTTCACAAAATACTGAGTTGCAAGATGCACTAGGCTTTCCAATTCTGCCCCTTCCAACCCTTCTTGCATTTTCTTCATCTCCAAAAACTCCTTCACCACTCTCATCCTCTCCTCTCTCTGCTTCACTTTCTCTGACCTTGCAATTTCGGTCTCAAAGTTTCCTGGCATCAATTCTTCAGCAGTAAAGATACCTAGACTCTGTGACAAGGCAAGAGATGAGTCTGACAAGATGTTCAGAATTTCCAAGGGGTAAGGTTGAGACTTGAAATGTGCTTCCCTATGATTCAAGAGCTCAACAGCGAAGGCCCCACTCTCATCTATCCAATCCTCATAGTCCTCATCTCCCTCCTCATCTTCTTCTGCTCTTGGCCTCCACAAAAGTCTGTCCAGTGCTGTATGCTTGTGTGCTGGAACATGTACAAGCTTGAAGTCAAATAGAAGAATTCCAGTGATCCAATGGTTTATGGTCATGTTAGGCTGTAAGTCAGGATTTTTAATCATCCCTTTGATGTACTGCACATCCACCTCAATAGCTAAATTCCACATGCCAAAGATATGAAGCCAGATGTTGTGCAGGGCACAGAAAAGTCCAAATAACTCAAGCTTAGCTTGGCTGTAGTGGCATTTGCAATCATTGAGGGTTATTGAGCCAAACATAACAGGGTAGCATTTTCCATCTTCCCCCTCCTGCATGAGGAGGTACCCAACAGCAATGTTAGAAGAGTTGACTGCTAAGATGACTTTCCTTTTGGAACTATAGTTGATAGTTCACAATGCAGGGGACAAGACAATTGCCCAGTGGAGGTACTCCATTGCTTCCCTATGTTCATCATGGAATTCAAAGGGGACATCCTTCTTGGTCAGCTCGATGAGAGGATGGGCATGTTTGGTGAAGTCTTTGATGAAGATCCAGTGGTATGAGCAGAGACCTAAAAATCCATGTACTTCAGTAACATTTGTGCAGTAAGGCCAATCTTTAATCTTTTCGACTTTAGTTTCATCTGGAATTCTGCCCTCAAATGACACCTTGTACCCAACCACTATGATGGATGGCTCAGTGATGATGCATTTCTTTGCCAACATGGTGGCTCCTGCATGACATAGATGGTGTAAGACTCAGTTGATGTTCTGCAGGGGCTCCCAGATGAAGTGCCTAATCCCAGAATTCTGTGGAATTGTTTCATAGGTGCCATCTGGATTTTGGTAGCAGGATTTGGGGCCTTTGATAGGACAGTCATCAATAAATGGAATGGTGACTTCCAGAATTTTGTCCTTCAAAATCCAACAGACATCTCTATGGAAAATCTGGACAGCATTCATGTAGCCCATAGGAAGTTTGGTGACTCAAAGGGTACTGATAGGAGTTTGGAAGGTAGTGAGGTCATGGTAATTGTCATGTATGGTGCAAGGATCATATCCAACCATAAGATCTAAAATTCCATAGACCAAATGGCAAGTGAAGGCTTCAGCAATCAAAGCAACAAAGGGGGGAACAGCTGAGTCCTGAATAGAAATGGCATTTAGAGGTTGTAAGTCATGGATGAGGCACAGAGATTTTCCATCCTTCTTGACCATGCAGAACCACTTTGAATGATAGGATGAAGTAGACAGTTCATAAACCCCTGCAGAAATCTTTTCTTTGATGATGTTAACAACTTCACAGAAAACAGCAGGAGGAATGGGAATATTTTGCTTGACCCAAGGCTTGTGGGCTAGTGTAGGTATCTTCAGAGGTGGGAACATGTCCTCTTGAAAGGTCCCCCTTTCTGAGGCATCCCAAGCAAAGGCATCCTCTTGCTCCCTGACCAACCATCACACCAGGTCTAATTCTGTAGGCCAAAGGAACCCTGCTGGGTCCAGATTGAGCTCATCAGCTCTTTCCTGAGTCAACCTGGAACCTGGCACAAATGGAGGGGGATGAGTAGGTAAGACAGGCAGGTCTGCAAGCAGGTCTTCAGCCTCCTGACATTCTACCCAGAATTCCACTGGTATCCATGTCAGTACTGGCCTCACCTTCCTTGCTACAGGTTTGTACTTTAAGACATGATAAATGGGGTCAAACTGATAAGTAGAGTGTAAGGTGGAGATTGTCAGTGGAGAAATGGTAGTAGCAGTCAAAAATAGGAAAGGATCAGTCAGAGAAATGGAACTAGTATCAAAGTGATCAACAGGGGGCATACTGTTGCCTTGTAAATTGTAGATAAATGCTGCAGTGGAATTTATGGCAGTGTCTGTGGGCAAAAGAGTGGTAGACTTCAAAGGGTATAAGGGAAGATCAGAAACACAAAGAGAACACACAGAGAAAGTGCAGTCCTGGTCTCCTCACAGCTTGTCTGTGGAGGATGCATTGTAACCAGTGTCTGTACATGAGTTGGCAATGGACATGCTGTTGCCATCATCCTCACTGTGCCTGATGGTAAGCTGTTCTTTGATGGATGCATTGCTGTTGGTTTCCATCTGCAAACAGAAGTCTTTGCCATTATCATTGTCAAAAAACAACATGTCACTATCAATGGTTTGTGTGCTTTCTCCTCCTAGTAGCTGCAGTTAGTTATCATTGTGGAATCCAATGCATACACATACAGATACCAAATGCACCTTGCATTGAAAATGGATTAGAGTTAGTAATTGTGGTGTGACTGGAGATGTAGAGGGTTAAATTGGAGGCAATCAGTGCCATGAGTCCCTAACAAAAAAAAGGAAAGACAATAGAAAGTCACATGGAACAAAAGTGTCCATGGTCAGGGATCAGCAGACATGACCACAGAGTACAGCAACATGTAGTGCACATCTGGGGGTTAGAGGGAACAAATGAGGCCAGCACTAGGCAAACAAAAGTGGACAAAAACAGGGTGGTCGAATGCAGGCACTTCACCATATGGGAAATAAGTCAATATCACAGACATGCTTGCATACATGCATGCAGAGGTATGGGCCTATCACCAATAATCACCCAAGTCAGGTGAACAGAATGGGTCTGGAGGTAATCACTCAAAAGTAAAGACCTGATCAGTCTCCAGCACAGCCAGGCAAATGCACCTCCATTGTCATTACAGGCATCTACTTCTGATTGTAGTTACAGTAGTAATTTAGTTGTGCCACTTCATTATGTAAGTTGAATTTCAAGTTGAGCTTTTTGTTCACTTTGTTAAAATCAGATCAGGCATTCTTTCCACAATTAAACCTCACAAGCAACTGAAATAATAGGCAATGTTGTAATGGTCATAGTCAGAAGGAAACACACCTCTATTAGCCATGGTAGGCACTGTCATGAGGGCACAATAACAATAAAGTTGTTGCATTAGCAATGCTCAGGTTATGCCTTTACAACATTATACAAGTTAGCTGTTAGACAATAACAGATATGACATATTTACATTGACCATGACTTTGCCTTACTGATGAACAATTTACCTGATGATATTCAGCTCTATTCTCAAGTTGCTGATGAAGTACACACTTGGGTGCTGCCTGTGGGGGCACCAGGATGCAATCCTCTGTCAGTAGCAGTGTCAAACTCTGGAACACTGTTGGCAAGTGGAGGTACTCTGGGGGCAAAAACCAATGTTTGATGGTCAAACATGGGTCAAACATTGGTCAAACAGATACTATTGTCTAACTATGTTCCTACTATGAACATTTGTCATAAACATTTATTATGTTTTTTTCACAATGTCCAAAAACAGAAGATAGTATGACAGAAACTATGAACATACATTATGTTATGGTTTCCTGTTTCAAATTGTGAACATTCTTTGAAACATTTTATATGTTCAGGCTGCCAAAACATGATTCAATAGGGTGATTTGCCAAATCATCCAATGGACTTATTTGCCAATTAACCATTCATTGAAAAGTAGAATGGGCAAATGGGTAACAGGGCAATTGTCAAATTAGTAGCAAATCACCCAATGGAGGAATCTGATATTTGCTGGTGGTCCCAACATGGTTCTTGCCATGGTAGCACTGGCATGGTACCAAGTTCACAGTACCAGTCCCCAAGGTAGTATCAGCAGTACTGAGTTCATAGTACCCAGTGGTACCACATTCACTACCAGTAGTACAGAGGTAGTACCAGTAGTATGGAGGTAGTACCAGTGGCTCCAAGTTCACTACCAGATAGTGCTACAAGTTGTATTGAGGTAGCACTGTACTACTAGCACATCAACATGTAAACAACTCTAGTGGGCCTGCAAGGCTAAAAACCATGGACAAGGATGCTCCAGCAAAGGATGTTGGAGCAGTGAACTGAACTGGGACAAGTACCACTTGAGGGGGGTTGCAGTAGTGGTATGGGCAGCTACACTAATGGCTTAAATGGTCACACAGATGGGTTGAGGGTCAAACACTAAAAAGGTCATTGGTGCATTGCTATGTAGGTCCAATTAACACAAGATGCACCTGGAGGTTGCCATGAGGCCATTGAGCCTGTGCAAGGTCATAACAGCCCACCAGAAACCCATACCATTGAGAACATCCCAGGAAAGTCAACTTCAGATGATAATCGACCCATCCAACAGCACAATAAAGCAACCCAGAGCATACCTGACCTGTTGAGCAGTCATGTTGGATGTCATATCCTGCTTATCAAATGACCCATCTGCAACACTACAAGCAAACAAGACCTTATTGGCAGCCTGGAAAGACTCTGGGAGTCACAAAAGCATGAATGACCAAAACCTGAGTGAGATCACACAGTGGTGATACTACAGGAGACCTGTGAAGATCAGTAAACACTGGATAACCTGCCTGTCACACCCAAGGGCAAGGATGGGTCCAGAGTTGAGAAAGGTTGTTGTGAGGCAGCTGCAAAGAAGCTGGAGACAGTGAGAGTCAGGACAGTTGAGAATAGGGAAGACCTGCCGAACATGGAAATGTGGTCAATGAAGGCCAGGAGTGAGCAGGACAGTGAGAGCAGTCACAATGCAGCAAGCAGCAGTGACACTGACTCATACAGAGTCAAGAACATGTCACTACCTACAACTGGGGCTCAGCATGCCTATGGAGACACTAATGACAGGACAAAGAAACCCAGTGCACCATAAGAGGCTGCATGCCGCTGCTATTGCAAGAATCCTGTGAAGATCAATGCATACCCAATAACTCACCTAGTTGAGATTGGAAGGCCAGGAGTGTGTAGAAGCATTATGAGTTACTGGGAGGTTGGTGGAGATGTCAGGGCAAGCATGAAGAAACTAGAGACAAGGGACATCAGCATTAGAATGTTTGAGATACAAGAAGACATACCAAATGTGGAAACACAGTCAGGAGAGGCTGATAACAGAGGAAACATTGGCAGCAGTGATGCACCAGTAGCATTGGCATTACTGACATGCACAGAGTGGAAGAAGCAATGCTGGCTACAAGCAGAAGTCAGTATGATGATAAAGACTCAAAACAAACAAAATATGTACCTGTGCCACTCATACCACTCATGGAATGCCTAGAAGACCATAGCACAAGCTGAATGCACAAGCACATACCAAACATTATCATGTGGCTACTACAGACCACCATGATGCATCCGAAACCCCTCAAAACAGTTGTTGACACTTGCTAGAGGCAGCCCATCAGAACTTGTGAGGAACTGTTTGGAGTGCCCATGAAGCCTTGGATACCACATAGAGACTGGTCTAGGCATACAACTTGAGATGCATCACAAGACCTACTCACCACATGACCAGCAATCAACAACATAGAAGCCCTTGCACTCGTTTATTCAAAACTGCTTGGAGACACATTCTTCTGATACTTGCTGCTTTCCTACTTTGACTTCACAGGCAAGTTCAAGGGGAAGTGTTGGAATTTCATATACAACATGCCCACATAATTACAGAATGAGTACATACTCTATAGTTTTCTTCTGGGTTCCTTCAATCCTTCTTTGCAAAGTTCACTGCAAGGCAGTACCAGCCTCAGGGGTATCAGTGGTACCAAGTTCACTGCTAGGTAGCACAATGGGGTGAACCAAACTTCAAGGTACTACTAAACACTACCAATTTCTATGCCCTTGGCAGTTCCATCACTTGACACAGCATCCTTAGTAATTCACATGAGATCTGAGACAGGCTGCAGGGGCTGCTAGGATCCATGGTGGGTAGCCACTCAAAAGATGTATGATCCACACTGGTCCTATGCCACATACCTGGTGGACAAGGGACCCTACCCATCTGGATGGGTATGATTGTTGGTCATTGGAGGAAGTTTTGCAGGAGGCCAAGGAATTCTTTGTTGGGGTTGAGGTGTGCAGTGGTCATTTTTCAATCATTCCATTGAATCCATCCATGCCATAGGAAGGAAAAGACAGTCTCCCACTGCTGTGTGACATGGACTGGATGCCATCAGACAGCATTGGCTGGTTGATTGAAAGCTGTGACAAGATGATCCATCAGGAGGAGGAGATTCACCGGCTCCATGGTGTGATGGAATTCTGCAGTGAATGGCTCACCCTTTTTGACAGGCTTGGACAAGTACAGGACCAGCTTGAGGACTTCCAAGTCAGGAGCCACCAATAAGTAGGGTGCTTTCCTCATTACACATCTCATTAGAATCTTGATATGTAATTTCCCCAGTTTCATACTATCTAGAGATATATGCACATTACTCTTCCAATTCATATCTTGAAGTACATCCTAGTGTTCTGGCTAAATCTCAATACATCTGGGACTGCCTAGCCATATAACATGCGAAGCCAGTACTGCCCACTGCCAATACCTCCATATGCCAGCCACTCCAGAATTTCTCCTTGTGTAAGAAGAATTTCTGTGTCCACCTAGTCTCCAGTGTGAGTAACTCTAGCCCTTCTTCCCAGCAATCCTATAGCACTTTTGTATGCAGCCAGTTGGCTCAATAAACTGTGATAATTCAGTCAGTATTTCACACAAGCCCAATTGATCTGCCTATGTTCTGACATCCTGTCATTCATGGCAAAATCCTGGGGAAGGTCCACAGTCCAAAACCAGGCCAGAGTGTCATTGCAATGACCTCTTGCATTTGGGTCTGCAATTGTGGCACTCACAGTCAGGTCTGCCCTATTCAATTCTTGGTAGTTGCCAAGAATGTCCTCCCCAGCCCCCAGTGCAATGAGTTTCTTTTGGCACTCACGATAGATGGTGGCATGCTGCTGAACCATTGCCTCTGCATTGGATATCTGCCCCCATGCCCAGGTTGTCATTTTGTAGTTCCCTCCTTTTCAGACATCTGTATGAAATATCATGGCCTTGTCCATGAGGGCCAGATGCAATTCATGCTATGCATCATTTGCCTGCCCTGTCTCAGATGTATTTCCTGTTCCACAAGACTGCTGAGGCCAATGTCATGGAAATACTGTACTCTGATATATGATGGCAGTGGAACATTACTGACCTCCTGGTGACCAGGACAATCAGGGAGGAACAGATCATCAGTTTCATCATTACTGTCCCTGTTGAATGGGGCTATACTTCTGGGCCTTTGCCTGGGGTTAACTTGCCAGTCATTTCTGATGAACTGGGCTGCTCCATGTACTAGTGCATCAATCTGTGATTGCAACCAGTCTTGCTGGTGCAAAATTGACAACTGGTCTGCCTCTGTTGCCCTGGTGTCTATCTGTCATGTATCCATAGCAAGCACTATTTGAGCCTGCTCAACCTTTAATGCCCATGCAATCCAAGTAGCTGAACAACATGAGCTGCTGAATGAACAGTTGTTATGGATTAGGTCAATCTCAATGGCTTTCATGGTGGGTGCTACCATGATGTATGTAGGTTATGGGACAGATGATACAGTTGGCCCCCTTACCCTTCTCCAGCTGGACTTCATATATGTCCATGGCCTGTGGAGTATTCTGCTGGCATGACTGCACCACAAGTTCTTGTTCCACCCATAACTGACACAAGCCATCTGGTACCTTGCTATCCAACTTGTTGAATTTATCTTGGATTGTTGCTAATGACTGCTTGGCAACCTTGAACTTCCATTTCAATGCCAATGCTATGTGCAAGTAATCAAGTGATGGTCAACCAGGTACTGGGATGACATATGCATCCATATCATTTTGAGGAAGTTACTATCATTCATTTGGAAGTCCAGCAACTCCTGACAGTGTGCTGTCACCATTCCCTGGGCTGATGGTGAGATTATGTTGAGAGAAGACCAGAGGGTCTCTATGATTTCACTGTCCACCTGGCCAGCACCTGGAATCAAGTTTGGAGCATATCTGGCAAAGCACTCTGTCTGATGGCCATGGACATGCCATAGTCCAATGCTGGGCTGAATCTGTAATCTGGAAGGAAGAGAGAGATATCTATTTTCCTCAAGCTGGTGGGACAAGTTCTTGCTATACTGACAATTGATGTCATAAAAGGTTATGGCTGGTGTGAGTCAAAGTGTGGTTCAGTGGTGAAAACCAACCAAAACCAACACAAAAGACAAAAAGAGCGAGTGGTGGTGTGCCTATGCAGTACCTAGATGGTAGAACCTTTGATTTGGGTGGGTTTTTGCAAGCTACAACACTCAAAGACAAGTGCTGAGGGTTGGGGGTGCTCCTGACAAAGAGGGAGCAAGAATGCAATAGAAAGCAATAGGGTAGACTGCTGTCAGCCTACAGAAGGATGGATGGCAACTTAATTTGATGTCCTAAGCTGCACTGAGCTCAGCGAGGGCTTGGAGCAAAGTATATTGATGATAGACAAGGATAAGTGAAGTAGACAATAGTTAGACCCTTAATAAAGTCTCAACTATTGAAGCTGCTGAATGAATTACTGAGTGATGATAAAATGCAAGCAGGAGGGGCTCTCTGATGTCTTTTTTTTTTTGCTATCTAAGTACAGTGATTTATATACAGTACAGGGATGTTGCCCATGGAAAACAAGGTGCAAACACTTGGAAAGTGATTGGTAACTGATGAGTAAGGAATGTAAGCAATGGCTAATCATCTTGGAAAGCATTGGTAAGCATTGATAAGGATAAGCAAGCCAAAAGGCAAAGGATCAGTAAGCAAAGTCAAAAGATTGGTAAGTATTGGCAATAGGTGAGTCAAAGACAGTTAGAATGTCAAAGTATGAGTCAAGTAATGTCAGGAACTGGGAAAGTGCACTGGAATTGCATTAGGGGGAGGCTGTGCATGTCACATCTCAAAGAGATTGCTTCTAGGCCAAGGTGGGATGACAGAGAGGCAGCACTGATCTGATGCCAATATAGTACATCAAAAAGTGGACAGGGTGAGTCAGATGTCAACAGGGGTCAAGCTCTGGGGGTCTGTGGGGTGACAGGAGCATAGGGGATTGCAACTTTCCCCCCCAAACCATCCTCTCAGTGAAGCAAATAAAAACTTCATGAATGAGGCTCTGTTGGAAGAGAGGATGAAGGGGGAGTGTCTTCTGCTGTATCTTGCATCAAGGAGGCAAGATGTGCATCATACTTGTCATGGATGTGATCAGGGAGAGTGGAGAACAGTAGATTATACTGTAGCTGTCACAATCTTGGAAGAATGACAGATGAGACTGGTATGAAGACATTGCAGGGAGCAGGGAGGAAGGATCCATATGCTTCTTGGACTGGAGAGACTGAGATGACCACATAAGACCTTTCCAAGTGAATGACAGACCTGAGGCGACCAAAGAACATCCTCCTGGAGGTCATACTGACAAAAAGACCATGCTGTCCAAGCTGGATGGGCTGAGAGGGCACAGACAAGGGTGGGATGTACCAGGATGCTTCAGGATGGAAGCTGGTAGGAACTCTTGGTAGATATATGTAGCCATGGTCCCTAGAAAAGGGGACAAGTGAAATGATTGACATGGAGGTGGCCATATCAGAAGGACTAGCAAAATGAGCATCTTTTGGAGGGAGTGCTGTAGAAATGTGTGGAGTGTGCAAATCCTTTCCAATTTTGGAAGGTAGGATCACATGGCTGAGCACTACAAGTGAGTGTGGGAATGGTCTTGGTATCTGCAGAAATGGCAGAGACATGTCAAAAACTGGAATGCCATACATGGGTGCTTAAGAATTCTAACCAGCACTTAACTTGCTCCCTTTCTTTATCTTTGGCACTGATGACTCATTCTTGTGCAAGGGATGACTGCCAACATTTCTGGCTGTCCTTCTTTGCATGAGGGCTATGGTCTTCATCTCCATTCATCAGCTGTATCCATGTCCACCTCACCAAACACCTTTGGTGTGTGACACCAGCCAGCACCCAGAATAAAGTTTGGAGCATATCTGGCAAAGTACTCTGTCTGATGGCCATGGACATGCCATAGTCCAATGCTGGGCTGAATCTGTAATCTGGAAGGCAGAGAGAGATATCTATTTTCCTCAAGCCAGTGGGCCAAGTTCTTGCTATACTGACAATTGATGTCATAAAAGGTTATGACCAGCTGCCAGGGGTCCAATCCATGGTGCATGGCATGGACCAGAGCATAATCCATATTGACCTGCCTGCTATATTGTTAGTCATGACCAGGGACTATGAATCGGTGCATACTGCTCTCCCTTCTGAAAGTTGACCATTGCATGAGGTACAAAACAGCCATGCCTTGCACAGGCACATCCACCAATCCCAGTCAATTCCAACTTGTTCCTCTGTGCATTTGCTTGATTAACAGCCTGGTGGTTATTGCAGTCAGATTTCTGCATGATGCAATCAGTCTGGTGCCTTTGGAGAGATCATGGCACACCAACTTCTATTCAATTTATGGTCCCAGTCAAATATTCCTTGTATGGAGCTGATGTGACCATGAAGCCATTTCCATCCATGAGCCAGACCTCTTCAGCAGCATTCTTGGGCAGCATATGCTTGGCCTTGAAGTTGCCATCCATCACAAAGGTCCTAGCAAACCACCAGCTACACAAGTCAGGCTAACAATGCCTTTGCAATAATGAATAGAATATGGACTCAGAGAGATCAATATCCTGATCTGGTACATTGATCCCTGGCTGGGGACAGGCAGGGCAGAAGAGGACAAGTTCACTGGCCTGGGGATCAGGCAACTGTTGATGGAATCCCTGCCATTTCAACAGCTTTAGGAGCCTCCACATTCTCAACACCCTGAGCAATTCCCTATACCTATTCTTCAACCAGCATGAGTGATGTGGCATATGGTAGGCCAGGGGTGATTGCACTCACCAGCACTAGGTGAGGAAACATGCTTGAGGTGACTCTCTGAAGTTTGCTATAATAGTTCATAGCAGAGGTTCCACATTCAACATTGTCCCTGATGAAGTCATCCAGCACCTGGAAAGTGAAAGCCATCCTTTGTGCCTTAGTTGTAGCCAGGAATAGGCTGGCCATGGTAAGCTGAAGATGTGAATCCTCAGACCCAGGGCAATTGCAATACTGCACATTGCAAAAGTGCATGCTGCCAGTGTCCACAACTGTCAGATAATTTCTATCATCTGATGGGTTGAGATGTGCTGGTCATTGACTCTCCTCAATGTCCTCCCACTCTTCATCTACATGGCTGGCAGCATCCTCCCAAGAACCTTCTCCTGCCAGGCATGGTGCTCCAGCATGGCCCAAGTGTAGCACCAAACCAACCTACAATATCAGTCATCACAGATGATGGGTTGAAACTGGAACTCACCAGCCATAGAGTGAAGTCTTCAAAGAATCTTCCATTCCATTTTTGTACCCAATGGAACAGTCTGAGTTTGTGTTGCTTGATGCAACATGTTTTACAAGACAATGGGCAATGAGCACAGTCCATGCATCTATATGGTGCCCCTTCTGCTTTACACACAAAACAAGCCATGACATTGGGTGGGGCCTCCATGTCCAGGAGCACAGACAGGTATCCACTCTTATAGGGCAGCCACTCTTCCAGATAACTGTTCTGTAATACTGTAAGGCACACATTGCCAACACTGGGATGTTTGATAATGCACACCTGGCTTTTTGGAATTCTTGATGTCCTTGGTGGTGATGCATCATCCATGTAGCAATATAGGTCAGCATCATTACCCTGGACTAAATTGGGTTCCTGGATGCTCAAAGATCCTGCCCTAGTAGGTGATTCACTGCTTTGGCTGGTTGCATATCTTGCCTTCTTTTGCAGAGTAAACTTGACCATCTTTTCTTTGGATCCCCTGGTTGTTTTCACCTTTTTCCAAGTGACATGGGTTACTGGGGTGGCCACTGCAGCTTGGGTGATTCATGACTTGCCCATGTCTAGTATCAAGTCCTTGCAGGATGTCTGCAGGCCTCAGCCATACATGCCTCATTGTGATGCCTGGCATGACTATGATTTGAGTTGGATCTTGGAATCAATGTCAGAAGATCCAATTGGGATCAAACTATACTTTATCTATATATAGTAGCAGACTGGATGATAGACGAATCAGCTTACCATGTTTGGCCATGGTACTGATTGACTGGAACAAGACCATACTAACAATGGGTATGTATCATGACCAGAACATTACTTGGCCCCTGGAACTTTATTCAAGAATGGGTGATGGTAACTATGAGGAATGGACTCCAAATTTTCTTTCAACAGAGGGTAACATTACCTGCAACTAACCAACCCCAACACCTTCTCCAACATTCAGAATGGCCAGCAGCGATCACAGTACTAATTGTGTTAATACCTCAGATGAGGACTTTTCCTCCAATGAGGAATCTAGCTTGGATAGCATGGAGACAACAAAATCTGTGCCAGGAAAGCTGAGACTGGACGAACTTCAAATCCTCCAAGATGGTCTAAATGATTGGAAGGAAGCTGACACAAACAAAAGGGCCCCGCTGATGGAGGACATGTGGAACAAAATCAAATGGCTGGATGCCAACAAGAGCCTCAAACAAAATGAATGGAATAGAAAACAGACAGTAAGCTTGATGGTTTTGATGTGCTTGCAGTTGTGTTAAGTATATTTCACAGGCCATCAAGAACTGGATGTATAACAATAGTTGGTCCTGGGCATGGAAGGCCCTGGTCAAGTATGGCTCCAAATGGACAGCCCTAAAGGTGATCAAGCTGCAGTGTAAGAAGGATATCCAGCAAGTACTTGTGAAGGCCAGAATACATCCCAGGACATCGGCTATGATCAAACACTATCAGCCAGCCATTCAGAAGGTAGTCCAGTCATTGACCAAGGCTGAATTGGACCAGGCAGCCTGTTTGGCAAAAGAGTGGAACAAGAGAAAGCTGCCACTCAAAGCCCAGGCAGAGTAAGCATCCAAGTTCTCCCATGGGCAATACTAACTTAAATGCAGGGCAGCAACAAGTAAGGGCCAGAAGTATGCAAAACAGTTTGCATATGACATGTGGAAGTAGTGTGGGATGAGAGTGGTGATCATGTCAGCATGGAAGGATAAGGAAGGTGAAGTGATGGTTGGAGTTTGAGTGCTTTCCTGACAGGCTTCACCATATCTGACTGGTGTAGGAATGACTTCAATGACAAGCTGGGCAATGGAGAGCTCTATTTGGATTGGGAAGACCTCCATGGAAAGTGGTCAGCCTACACAAAGAAGGCCTTTGGGGCCAATGGTATGGAGGATGACAGCAGAGAGGATGAGGCTGGTCAAACCACAGTAAAAGCATGGAAAGGAAAAAGTGGTCTCAATTCTCCCTGTCCACCAATGATGATGGCATGCCCATTCTTCCAAATCTCTTGGACTTACAGACACCAGAATTAAAGGACATCATGAGGGTGTTTGTAACTGGCCATTATCATACATGCCAATTTCCATGGCCGATGAGTTACTAACATCTAAACACAGGCTTGGCTTGTGGGAAGATGAATGCCAGTGTACCTTGGGCTGCAATAGCTGACAACTGGGCATCCTATGTGTCTTCCAAGTATCTTCCTCCCAATATCCTGTTCAAAGAGCCCACCAGGCTGACACATCATGAACTAATTGAAACCTTGGAGTTCTGGAAGGAGCAACAGCAGGAGCACCCAGAAGATGTCTTCCAGTTCCAAAGGTGGAGAAGTCAGGATGGTTCCCTGGAGGAGCCAGTTGCCAAACACCAATGCCAGTCAGACAAAGCCAAAGGGAAGAGACCCTGGACAGAAGGTGAGGTCATGATCAATTTGGATATACATAACTGATTGCACATTAAGTAAATTCCATTGATGGCTCTGACTATGGACATCACTCAGAGGAGGAACCAGCTCCTCCCACAAAACCTTCCACCAAATGGCAATGGATAGATGGTATGTCAGAGCTGGTCAGATTCTTTACTGGTAACCCTAACATGACCTTGGAATTGTGTGCCAAAGATCATCCCACTGGAACATCCAATGCACAGGAGGACAACAGACAATGGAACCAGTCCACATCAGACCAGCACAATATGGCTACTGCATACCCCAAGCCAGCTGGTAAGTGGTATCTGGCAACAATGAATATTGCTGATAGAATTGTATCAGACAATCATGCAAATGATGGTGGTGATTCAACTGCAAGGAAGCCCAAGCCCAAGCCAAGAATCAGATCCGATGGTTGGTTTCCATGCACATTTGGTTAATCCTCTCATTACAGCATTCTACAGCAGCCCAGAATGATAAGACAGTCATGTCACCTAATGATCATAGGTATACATCCATAACACAATTACACACACTTATCTATGTCAGGAGTTGATCCAGTGGGTAGGAATTTGAATGCCAGGCCTAGAGGCCATGTGATGGACAGGGAAGATAGACTGTTGGATCAAGCAGAAGAGGATGGTGTGGCTCATTTCCCAGAGCAGAATTGTAGGCCCCAACAGCAGCCAGATGATAATTATCCTACTCCAACCATGAGGAGGTGAAGGTAGAATTGAGGCCAGTACCTACTGTTTTCCAGTAGACTGGCGACAACCATATATAGTGCACAGTGCAAGAATCACCAGTGAATTACTGGCCCCATAGCTACCATGTACTGTAACCCACTGTCATAATCCAATTGCAGCCAATTTGTGCACTTCTCCAATTCCATTCAACATAATGTTCATTGAAATGAGTTAAATATACAAATTAAAGCTGGTCTGGCTTAAGATGGTAGCCTACACCTGCTGGCTCTTCCTCCAGAAGATCTGCTGCCAGAATCTGGTAAGCATGGCATGCTGCTCAACATGTGATCACCACTCCCTGGTTGCATCCACCAGGGTATTGGCATAATACCTATATGCAGTGATCAGATTGGCATTGATGTCTGGCTGATGTGCCCCACTCCTAGCCATGATACTGGAGATCTGCCTTGACATTTGAACTGGTAGACATGTTTAGCTATGGTTGCATAGGAACTTCTGGACTTATGCTTGGTTTGTGGAGTATCAACTCCCAGCTGTATGGCGAACTCCTGGGAGACTGCTAAAAGCTCCAAATGCGACAATGGGATTGGCACTGGTGATGGGGATCTAGCCAGTGGTATCAATGCAGAGCTGAATGATGCAGGAGCATCTGAAAGGTCCATAGGTTGATGAGGACCAGGGAAATTGCTGCCAGGCAATGTGAATGTTGTTGGGCTGGGAACTGGGATAGGATTGTGACAGGCTGGTGACACAGAGGGAGAGTTAAGGACCAAAATTGGGGCTCATGCAATAGGATGAACAGTCATGATGATTGGCCAGCTACTTGAGTTGGGTAGATGTAAGCTGATGATCTTGTGGCAGCAGGTGACTGAAATGCCAGTTCTTGTAAAGGACTGACTGGTGGGGACTGGAATGGTGGGGGCAACCCCCAAGGTGGCTTGTGCAATGGCATACCTGGGGCAACAGGCAGTGGTGATTTGTCCCATGCCAGCTCAAGTAATGGGGTACTGTCAGAGAGGCATGTTGATATGGAGTCCCAAGGAGGCTCAACCAATGGGCTGCTAGAGGAGGGAGACAGTGCCAATGACTCCCATGCTGGCTCTATCAAAGGTGATCTGGGCAAACCAGAGGACTGGAAGGAGGGTTCCATTCCAGTTGTGCATATTGTTTGAGCCAGGGACAGCTCAAAAGGTGGCTCATGTAAAGGGGATGATGGCACATCTGGCAGGTCATCTTTAGTAAACATTTCCTCATCCTCATTGAGAGATGTGAGCTGCTGCATATCATGGTGTGATGGAATTACTGCACACAGTCATTAGAAGTAATGGTCCCTGGACTGGTTGACTTATGGAGTTTATCTGGACTGCCAGAACTGAATCTAACATTTCTGGGAGCCATATGAAAGTTCAAAATAAAATGTTGTAGGCACCATGGGGATTACACTGATGTTTGAACATGATTTCAGTACCAGTGATAAGATTGTATTACACAATATTTTCTCACCAGTCATCATGCAGGATGTGCAAGTGCATACATAATGGAAATGGGCACTTAGTGGAATGACTATCAACTGCCATACATTACTCCCACCAAAATATGTTCAATGGTTAAACCAGTACATTGACTATTGTAAATCACAGCATCACCAGAGTGAGCATTTGTATTGTGCTTATGTAAGCCTGTTGAATGGTGTATGCTAGCCAGCAAATTCACCACACCACTCAAGCACCTACCACCTGCACACCTAAGCTTTAACAGCACTATGTCTACTGCCAACACCAGCACCTTCATCCCAGCACAATTGACTGACAACATCCAGCCAGTCATCACCACTGAAAATGCCAAGTGGATGGTCAAGGAGGCTGCCAGGGTTACAATGCAGGCACTGAGAGGACTTTGGGGCCAGGACACTAAGCACTGGGGCAAAGCAGCTCAGCTTGTGTGGGCCCAGCTGGCAAGTGAAATTGCAGCCATGATATCCATTCCTGACATCTATGTAGGGAATGGTCCACATGGCTGTTGAACATCTACCCCCAGCATTCGAGATCCCTCTGCATCTTATTGCTATCAATATGCACATGGTTGACCCAGCAACAATCTTTGCCACACAGATGTGGCTACCTTTCAACCAGATGATGATGGCATGAGAGGCCAATGTGAAGGATCATGTGTGGTATCACCTTCATCACCAGCCTAAGTCTCACCCATATTACAAGGTAATGGAGGAGCTTACCAGGCCTTCATCAAGGGCCAAGCACCAGGCACAGCCAGTGGATAAGGGGAAGGGGAAAGAGTTGGGTACAGATGCAACAGACCCACCCATCACTCCAGCCCCAACTACTACAACTGGTGCTGATGATCCATGCCTTTGTGACAAGTATTGGGAAGAGGTTACCATCCTCAAGCAGGAGAATGCTGACATGAGGTGGGAGATAGAAGTAACCTGTACTGAGCTTGCTGCTTTCCATTGGGTGGTAGATGCTATCCATAATCACCTATTCCAAGCCCCAGACATGCTTAACCATCCTCTGGTCCCATTTCATGCTACTTCCAACCCTACACTGGTACCTCACATGCCAGTCATGGTGGAACTTGGCACTGCAACTGGTGTTGTAGAGGTTCAATCATCCCAAAGCAGCTCAAGACAGGAGTCCACTGAACCCCCCCTGGCTTCATTCAAGGGAGGTGCCAGCTTGGAAGTACCTCCTTCAAATGTCGAAGCTGTGCATGGACCTGCTGGAGGTCTGGCAATCTCTATTACTCCACCACCACCAGCAGTCAGATCAGTGCCCAGACAGGAAGGTAGGATGGAGGTTGACTAACATCAATGTACTTGTCATTTTGCAATCCATTCATGTTTTTTTGTCTTTGTACTTGTACTTTGTTAGATGCAGCAGTATATTCTATATTGTCAAAATGTGATCTCCAGGAAGAAGTAGCTTCCACTACTGGTAGTTGTTACTGTATGATTCAGATACTGGAAAACCAATCTGGTATGGTGATGTCTGTACCAAGGCTGTGGTGTTACAAGCACTAAGGGCCAATGGAGTCATGGTTCACCTAGATGATTGAATGATGACTGGCCAGCATAACTCAATTGTTTTTGCTGTATAGCATGATGGTGACTTTCATGGTATTGTTCTGGCTTGCTGGAGGCCATAAGGCATTGAATTCACAGTTTAAATGCACTGGGTAGTTGGCTAGTCTTCTGGTCATTACCAGAGCCACCATTGTGGTAATACATGCATCTCCAGCATGGTACTGGTATCAGTATGTACATACACTGTGGACCTGCTCCCAGGAGGTCAGGCAGGTCAGGCATGGCATGGTATAATTTCTGGGCAGGCCTCCATGGCATTGGCACTGGGATGGCATTCATGGCAATGGTGCCAGGACAGCTTGACTGATGGCCTCATGGCATTCATCCCAGGATGGCCTGCATGGCATTGGTGGTGGGCCAGCCCACATGGCAGTGTTGCCAGGATGGCTAGCATGGCATTGGTGTTGGGCTGGCTTGCATGACAGTGTTGCCAGGGGTGAACTCAGGGGCTGAGCCCATCCATACCTTCTGGGGACACCCAACTCTGGGCTTACCTGGGACTACTCACATTGCAGTGGCTACACCCTAATCCCACAGCTGGCTTGTACCCCATGATGACAATTCTGACCTCTGCCCAGCTATTCTCCACAATGACTCCTACTCTTGGGCTCAGCTGTATGCTATGGTGACACACATTTATTGGGCTCTCCCATAGTCCATGATGACACTTGCTCCCCAGCCTGCTTGTAACTGACAATGACAATTCAAACCACAGCTGCACCATTCCTCATGACAACATTTCCTCTCATGCTCAGCTGTACTACATGGTGACACTCATCAGTTGGGCTCTCCCATACTACAAGGTGACAATAGGTTCATGGCTCTCATGTAACACATGTGCACAAGCCATACATGGGCTCAACCTCTGCTGGCTTGTCACTGATGGCTGATTGTCAGCCTCTGCTGACCATCTCATACAGCCTAACCAGGTGCATGGGCTCATATCTCATGCATCCCTTCACCATTTCTCTCACTGAGCTGTTCCTGGGGGTGCCTCATTCATCAAATTCCATGAAGCCATTGTCAAGGTATGCCTGTTTTTGGATCTTGGGGGTTGCAGGATACCTTTGCATATAACTCAGGACCAGGTGCACAGATCTACACCATTCCTTTTTCACTTTGTTCGTCTAAGCATTCCCCATTGTCTCCCAGAATTTCACAGTGATTGCCTGTGCCATCATTGTTCAGCAGGCTCTCCCTTCACCCTTGAGGACTTGCCATCATATCTCACACTTCTCTGTGCTGTTCCTCTCAGGGTCGTCCATCGGCCTCACTGAGCTCTTCCTGGAGATGCCTCTTTCATCCAATTTCATGCAGCCATTGTAGAGATATCACCATTCTCGTGTTTAGAGGGCTGTGAGACACAGTTGTGAGTATCTCAGGATTGGGTGAGCCAATTGTCATGACTACTTTCTCACCATGTTTGTTTACAAGTCCCCTACCATCATCCAGTGTTTCATACCAATCGCCGAGCTGTTGTCATTTGGCAGACTCTCCTCTCCCCATCTTTGAGGTCTTGCAGTTGTATCTTGTGCATCTCTGCCCTGTTCCTCTCACTTTTCAGAGAGCCTACACCCCACAGTGAATGCTCCATGGGGACACCTCATTTGTCCAATTCCATGCAGCTATCTTGGAGATATATTGGGACAGAGTATGTGCATTCACCCTATTTCTTTTGTGCCACATTCATCACACTCCCCTCTACCATCTCCCAGCATTGTCATGAGCACCCATTGACATTCAGCAGTCTTCTCTCCTCCTCATACTGGTGGCTAATGATGTTTCATGCTGTATTTTGCTCATTTACCCACAGGCCTCTTGTTTGCATGCTGTGATTTATCCAGACATCACACATATCAATTGACATGCATCACAGACATCACTCCTTGCTGACCATTATCCAACTGGAAATCGACACACAGTCACCTCTTGCTAAGGAAGAAGAAACTGAACTTCCAGACTCTCTTGGTGAATTGATCAAGCTTCCTGCAGACATCATGAGTCCAAACCTCAATGGCATCAAGTTTGATAACCCCCACCTCAATATGAATGGTATCATAACTTAAGATGCCTCATGTTCAACACTGATACCATTTCTGTGGTCAGGTTCACCTGTGTACACATCCAGAAGGGAAGGTATGTATCTCCTTTGCTTCCCCATTGTTAAGTATGGGTTCACCCTTGGGTGACCAGGCTTCAAGACCAGGAGACAGGGGCTAAGTCCAGGTGACCAAAGTCAAGGCTGGGAGACAGGGGCCAAGTCTGGTTGGACCAAAGTTAAGGCCAGAGGTCAGGGGTTAAGGGGTTAAGTCCAGAGGACCAGACTTAAGGCCAGGAGTGTGGGAATAAGACTGGCAGCATGGGAAACTGACTGGTCTTGGAGTGCACACAGGGGGAAGCTGCTCCAGGGTTGGATCTACCTCCCTTGGTCTCAGCTTATGTGCTGTACCCTTATGCAAGTAAGGGAGAGGTCTGGGACAGGGGCCAGGGATAGTTTAAGGCTTGGCCTTAGCTATAGAGTAGACTTGGGGTGTAGTATTGAGTTGAGGGTAATACTAAGTTGATATTCTGACTGGAGTGCTATGAAGTATGTACATGGGTTAAATACACCAGGCCAGTCTGGGATAATGAACATGAAGCTGGACTTGTGAATAAGCTATTAGCAAGATGATTAGCAAGAGTGTGGACAGCCATAGGGGCTGTGCCAAGGCTAATAGTCAAAGTCTGGGTGACTGGCATAACTGGGGTCAGACACAGGATTTGTACAGTAAGCAAAAGTCAGATGAATGGACCAAGCTAAATATAGTACAAACAAAGGAAAACAGACCAGAGCTATGTCCAGGTGACCCAGACATGGACCTGGGAGGACTGGGGTGGAGCAGTGCATGGCCAGGAGGCTGGAATGGACCAGAGATAGGGGTAAAACACCAGACTTGAGTTATTCAGGCCAGAGTTGGGTTATCTAGGGCTGGAGTTGGGTTTTCTAGGCCAGACTAGGACTGGACTTGACTGGAGATAGGGGCTAGGGGTCCAGACTGGACCAGGATTGAGTCCAAGAGTCATGGATATGACACTGTTAGATTTGGCAAGTCATGTGTAGCCCAAATGTGTCTGCTCTGAGACATGAGTGTTACTTTCCACTTTAAGGTTTTCATACTTTACATTACTATTGAGTGCACAATTAACTTTTGTGCCCTTGCGCTTATTGTATTCATATTGTCTCACACTCATGTGTGTGTTTTCTCATTACTTACAAGAATGTAGTGCATCTCACAACAAGACTGCCCTTGTCATGTACAACTCCAGGTTCAACACCCAAGCATCTCAGTATTGTTATACTTGCAGATATATAGCTTCATACTATACCTTTGTCACCTCAGATGTTGTCACTACTTGCACGTGACTGAAGTGAGCATGAGCACTTTCCCCCTCCTTTACCTTACTCATTTTTGTACCTAGATTATTTTGTATAGGTGAATCCACAGACATTGTCACTGCTTGCACATGACTGAGATTATTTCATATAGATATATCTGTGAGACACCCATGTAGGTTGACCTTTGTGCTCATTCCCATATTGCCAGCTCCAGAAATGGAGGAAGAAATGATGTTGGAGGCCCTCAAATACATGAACCATGTTGTTAATATGTCAGACCATGGAAGCTTTTCTTCACAGCCATCAGTGCATATATGTTGCCTTTGCAGGTTCATATAGATGCCTCATGCAGTGTCCTTCATCTGCACAAAGACTCTTTTTCTCTGCAATGAACAAAGATGAGCATGCCTTTGTACAGTTGATTGCTGATTATAAATGGACCCCTCCCCAGGTGTCACTGGAACTTCACCATTCTATTCCCCTCTATCTCTAGACATGTCTCCCATCACACATGGTATGGCTTGCAAGGGTATCCAGTGCTATGCACCATATAACCTGCACTCTTGTGGCCCCAACCAAACCTTGTTAGACCTGTCAAGTGTTCTGCCTATGCTGAGTTCCAGTTTTTCTGCACAATGCCACTGGTGCTTGTGCTGGTGTCGTTGCCCCCCACATTCATGCTGTAGGGGGCAACCCCCCTGCAAATGCTGTGAGGAATCAATAAGAACCCTTTCAGATATCCACTGACTGCTGGCCATTATTCATAGAATCAGTTCATCTATCCTGATGTTCAAAAGGCCACACAAGATGGCATACTGCTGATGTGCTACATATGTCTATCATTTGTCTTTGTACCTTTGTGGCTGAATCCTGTTGTAGGAGGACATTGGCTATGGTGTCAAGCTTAGATTCATTCCAGATTGCCTTGAACTTGCAAGAGTTGTGGATGAAGAACAAAAGAAATAAAGAAAAAGGGTGCTGTAGGCAACCTCAGTAGTGAACAATCTACTGAGGGAACAGTGTAATGAGTGTGCATTAAGTGTGCTCTAATGGCTTATATAAGCAGCCAAACATCGCACCAAAGTAAGCAGCACACAGAGGAGAATACATATATCTCCAACAAGAAAATGTGAGCATCCCTATGCATCATTGTGATGAGTCCCCTACTGATGTTACTGATAGTCTTTGGGCTCTGGAGGCTGGTGAGGTTATCTCATGGGAGAGACTCATACATATTTATTTTCTTTTCAGTTGTTGTGATTTATGGTCATGATCTTGTGAATGCAGGACATGTTTGGACAAGGTGCCCTTGGCTATGTTGAGGAATGGATGGAGATTGCAACAGATGCTATTATGACTGATGAGATGGGTGAGTGCAGACTTTCAACAGTTGGCAAGGAGTAGCTGCTCACCTGTTTTGGCAGCATGTTACCTGCATGATGGTGCAGCATCAGTCTCCAATACTTGACCTGCAGAAGGGTGATGGTAATGATATTTACTGCAGGATGTCACTGCTATCCTAGCTTGTAATTACTGATACCCATGACAACATTCCAATCAAGGGATAATATTCTTACTTTACTTCCATTACATGTGATGTGCATTTCAGTGTTCTACTGGAAGTGGCATGCTACTACCTTTACAATCCATAGGCTGCCTGGCACCATAGCTATTTGTGATCTCGTGCACAATGAACTTTGTAACAGTCATGTGAACATTAGATAATCTAAGTTTAGATTCTCAGATCTCAGCTCTCACCCCTAGTGCAGACACTCAAGTGCTCACCTGAGATGGATATAACCCTAAATTTCTGTGGCAAAGTTTTCCTTTGTCTTAGAGGACCTTGTCAAAGCTGATCCTTACTGTGGGCCTACCAAGCAATGATGGACAATGTGACCAGATGAAGTGGACATGACAATGGAAGCTTTGAGGATGCCATCCTCACTATGCTCATATGGGGTATGTCCCAAGTTGTCAGTTCCCCATTAGTATACCTCACTGCTTGCATTCACATTCATTCCTGTCCCCATACAATGTCAATGTGTTATGCAGACCTCACTAAAGGTGCCATTGTATTCTCTAGCGGGGATGACAGACACTCCATTTGGTGTGGAGAGAAAGACCCAGTGGGTAAATGCATGCAGACTTGATACTGTTCCCTGGGAATGTGGAGATGGAGAGGGTCACTTGGAAGAGGAGGAGTGGACTGGAAGGATGTTTGTGTTGAGGATTGAGAGGTACTTTGTTGAGGGTGTCTTTAAGGTAATTTGAGTTCTCTTGAAGGTAATATTGGCAGTATGGTGCATGTTTTTGTTCGTACATGCTTGACTGATGCTTCATAGGTTGACTTTGATCCTGGCACATCAATGTCTGGCTGTATAAAGTATGGGGACATGTGTGATAAAGTCCAGAGGTGGCTCAGACAGTGCAGGTGAGCCATTCAGCCATTTCTTGTCTGCTTTCGAACACTCTGACTCTGGGTGCCAGGTAGGTTCATTTTCTCTGCTCTGTGGTAACAGACAGCGCTGGCCCTTGTAGCGTCATTGCTACTGCCACTGTATCACTTGCCATTGGCTCCCTGGCTGAAACTCTGTATTTGATGTCTCAGCCATCCTCCAAGTTTCCCCCCATACTTGCCCAGGCTCCCAGTCTCATCAAGCAAGACATTCTGTGCATGCCAACCTTTGTAGCTCCCTCCATCACTGGCTTCTCTTGGCCATGATTCTGCATTCAACAGATGTGCTTGTACCCCTGCCATTTCAGGGTTGGTCCACCTTATCTCTAGTTTTGTTATGCTTGCCTCAACATCTCCATTGACCTCCTGGCATGTTGCAGTGCCTTCATAGGATTTTTGTGACAATGCTGGCACATGGTTGTGCTCATCTCGTAGTGTGTCACCCTCTTGCACTTCACTGTACTCCCCTAGCCTGTCATTGGCATCTCCATTAGCATGATGAGTCCTTGTCATGGCTAGTACTGCATTATTGTAGGATTTCTGTGGTATCTTTGGCATGCATTTTTGCTCAACTTGCAATGTCTCAACTGTTTGTGCCTCTCTGTACTTCCCAGGCTCGTCATGAGCATCTCCATAGGCATGTCGAGTTCCAGTCAAAGATAGTGCCACATGATTGGTTCCATGCAAGTCAGCATCATTGGTGTTCACTGCATTGCGACTGGTGTTGCTATCCTTTTTGCTCTCAGCCTTAGTTGGCCATGCTTCCATTTTTGGTGGGTCTTTTCTATTGTCAACCATCCATCACTGACCCTTGCTATCTCCAGCATCAGTGGTAGTCCAGCCCTCTGTTTGAGTAGTAGGGTTGTCCATGGTCTAGCCTCACCATGGATGCATAGGTTGTTACACAACTTAAAGGCAATTGAGTTGCTTGTGCATTTTCATACAGCAATGTTATGTTGAATGTGATTCTCGAAGAAGCTCCTTGCAGCAAAATCATGTGTCTGTCTGACATCTCTACTAGTACCACACATCAACTGTACCAACTATGCCATCTCATAATTTGACACCTGGACATTCTCATCCCCTCAGCATCTATGCATGCTTGCAGTCCATCATTCTCATGCCTGGCATTACATGCACTCAGACAGCATGGACTGGGAGAGCTTGTTTGTCACACACCCTTGTCACCAACCAGTTGCATAGCCACTATACGAAGCAAGCACATCACTGCATGTGCTTGCAGCAGGCTTGCTGCCTGGGTGTCAGCCACCCAAGCCAGTACCAGTGTCATCATCAGTGTGCTCTCATCAAGATACACCATCACTCATGCTCATCAGTGGTCAGTTGGTCATACAGCCAATTGCTTGACTCATCAACCAGTCTCCAAATGTCATAGCCAGCTGCACCCATGCTATGTTGCCTTCAACTGTGTTGTCACCCCCTCATAGTCACCCTTTTTTTTGCATTCTGAAACAACCTTGATTGACCCATCTTGCACATCAGTTTCACAGGCATGTGGTTGTTTTTATAATGGGAGGTCCTGAGGTTGTATTTTGTGTGGTTTTCTGCTATTCCTTTTGCTTTTCAGGCTGTTCATGACCCCCACTGAGCCCTTCCTGGGGGCACTTCATTCATCTAGTTCCACACAGCTGTTGTGGAGATGGGCCTACATTTGTATTTGAAAGGCTGTGCAACACTTTTGCATGTAACTTGGGATGGTGTGGTTTGATCTCTGTGTTTCTTCCCTTCTCCCTGCTCATCAGTGAGTCCCTTACCATCACCAGTTCAGGTTCAGTTGTATTCAATGATGGGCATTCTGCTGAGCCACTCCCATCTGTCATGTCCCACAGGAACAACTCCAACATATGTACAACTCTGACCTAGGCAGAACTCCAACATAAGTACAACTCTGACCTGCATACAGCTCTGACATAAGTACAACTCCAGCACAAGTACAAATCCAACATAAGTGCAACTTGAACATAGGCAGAGCTGATATAGGTGCAACTCCAACATAGGTATGGTGCTCACAGTAGATCCATTCATTCATTCATTTGAATGGACCAATTGCACCATTTGACCATTGGACATTTGAAACTAAGCCATTCTCATATTGAGCAATTGCCCATTCCACCAATGGCAGAGTTGACCATTCTCATAATGAGTAATTGGCTGTTTCACCAATGGCAGAATTGACCTTTGGTTTGACTTATGTTTTTAGGGTGGAAAATATACTTGAGTAGTATAATATGTTCTGAAGGCCAGAACTTTCAAATGTTTTGTTTCAAAATCATGGTTTGAACATATGACTAAGCAGTGAGAGTATTTCTACAATGATTTATGCTCTAATCATGAGAATAAACATTTTGGATATTCCTATGAAAAGCATCCTATATGATACTACCCAATTTTCTGACCTAGGACATTACATCAGAGCATGTTATCCATTGAGGACCAATGTTATATCAAAGCACATGTCATGAAAATAGTATCTGCTTAATTCAATGGTTTTACTATGTTTAGACTTAAACCATTAGATAATGCCCCCAGTGAATTCTAGACTTGAAGTAAAATTTGCTACTGGAATTTTGGCTGTACTTTGTGTATTGTCAGTTATGCAAATTAGGACAGAACTTAAAGTTTCACTCCATGCTGCACATGTTGACATAACTTCCTATCTTGGACAACATCTGCTATTCAACCATACTTATTGTTTACACAATGATTAGATGTTCACTCTGACTTCAAACCTGAGCAAATGTGTAGAAAAGGATCTCAACTTCAAGTATGGATTTTTTCAGTATGCCATCACAAACTCTAAGTGTGAGATTGACATATTGTATTACATATAACATGGTACTATATGGTGGAAAACTCACTGTGTGTGCGATGTTTTGGCTGCTTACATCAGCTAAAATAGCGCACATACTTGTAGTATTTTTTACTAGTATTCCCTCCGTAGTTTGTTCACTACTGAGGTAGCCTACAGATATTTCTACAATGAGATCATTCTCATCAGAGAACCTGTGTGGTCAGTCTACCATGAGAGCATCCCAAAGCACCTGAATGGGCTCAATCAGTGCCTCTGTAATCCAAGGGTTCTCTCTCATTCCAATATATTTCCACAGGATGGGTATGAATTGTGTGACAAAGATGTGTTGAGATCCTGCAGGTAAGTCCAGATTGGAAGGGGCCTGACAAGACTTGGAGGATGTTACTGCATTCATGATGACAGATGACTGGGAATGATGTTTTTGTGGTGCACCCAGTATGACCTTTGCAGTGGGCTGCTGTTGGGGGTTAGTGTAAATCATGTAATACTATGAAGATGGATAGAGCATACTGGCATGCAATTACTTCCAGAGCTTTATCCTGTCTTCTTGAAGGAGCCTGCATTGTCATGCTCAATGGCTGGTCAAAGGAATCATCTTTGTAACTGGGCAAACCACCAAAGTTAAACTCAGCTGGGGAGGTGGGACAACCCTTTGAATGGAAATGTCCAGAGAGTGTTGTTTCCCATTGAGACAAGTAACTGATGGGCTGGGCAGATGACTTTGATTGTCTGTTGGCTTTGCTTGAATGGAATTCAGGTTTCAGACCAATTGCCAGTGGTGTCTTTGGTGTACAATTGACAGTGGCTTGAGTGTCAGCCATGCCTGAGTTGTGTTTCTTGGCAGTCAGGCTGAAATGACCAGGATTGTAAGCATATAATCATTGTAACAGTAGGAACTGTCTCACCCAAGCATCATCCCTCCAGCAGGTGCCTTGCATTTCTCTCTGCTGGATGTGCCACTATAGGTCTCAGAGTCAATGGATTGGCATGCTTGCATAATGCCTTCATGTGTGGCTTTGACTAGCTTTGTTCCCATTTTGGAAGCTTCCATGAGTGGGTGCCTATCACTGCCATTCTCCGCACTCTTGTCATCTTCATTGTCTTCCTCTTGTCCCTCTTGTTCCTCTGGCTCAAAGTCCGATCCACTTGGACTTGATACACCATCTACACCATCAACAGGAAGTAAGTTCCAATTATCTTGCTGGTAGGACAGTTCTACCTTGGTCAACAATGTTAACTAAGCCATCTTCTAGATCTTGATGTACCATGGCCCATCCACCTGTCTTGGAGTCCCCTGATGGTGGAGTCTGTTTCTTCTTTGAAAAGGCAGAGGTAGGTTTCCTGAATCTTTTTGTCTATCCTGTGTTCTTACAAGTGAGATTGTCTTCGATTGATGCAGCATGTTTGATACCTACTTGAATGTAAGCCTGCCATTGAATGTTGGCCACTGCCTTTGCAGCCTTTTCTGCCTGGATGATCTCTGTTGTCTGCCATGGTGCAGGTAAGTCAGGAATTCCAGGGTGTGCATTTTTATTAGATGCTCAGGTGCTGATAGAATGCAATTGCTGGCTACTTATGGTCTGTAGGTTCACAGTGTAGTTAGACAAATTCCATGAGGTAGGCAAGGGCCTCTGCTTTTTATGCCTCAGCCACATGTTTATTGGGACTGTGCAGTTCATTTTGACATATGTACTCCAATGACAGTTCTTATCATTGCACAGTATTACCTAGTCATCACAACTCAAACATCACAAGTCAGTTCATGCCCTGCCATCTGTCACATCGACCATTCCATCACCATCCCTATGTCTGTGGATTCAGAGGGTGTGCCAAGATGTGTATGACATGTGGGGGGCTCAAGCATCATGTTCAGCAATCACATCACCCAAGTGTTTGACAATCACCATCCCCTTAGCTACTGGCTGGTGTTGATGACTGGGAGAATGTGGATTACCCTGATGATCCAAGTGGGGACAAGAATGTTAACTTTATTAGAGTTGAACTGCAACAGCCAGGCCAGTGCATGGTGTCTTATCACCCCATACTTGATGGTAAGTTTCATGCTATATTATTATCACTTTCTCATACAGTGGTCCATTTCAGGTACTTCATGTGATAGAAACAGGCAATATCTGCCACTGAACTCTCTGCCCACCCTGAGACCAAGACAATTGCCAGATGACTTCTCTCCATATGAGAGTAGGGTGGCATTTGAGTTTGCAGAATTTCTGTACTGACATGAACAGATGTCAGCATTGAAGATCAATGAACTTCCAGGAATCATTGCCACACTCTATAATGAGGACCCCCCCTTCTCCTCACACAAGCACCTCTATAGTACTATTGATGTGATGATACATGGTGATGTGCCAAGGAAATCATTCTCAGTTAAGTATTCAGGTGCCATACCTGACAATCCACCTTCCTGGATGATGGCTGAGTATGATGTATGGTTTCATGATCCCAAGATTGTCCTTGAGCACCAACTGGCCAACCCCAACTTTGATGGCAAGATCAACTATGCAGCAAAGGTTGTGATCAATGAGCATGGGTGCTCTCACACCCCAAAGGTGTTGTAGACATGGTTACAGCTGACTCTGCCTAACTCATCAATGAGTTGCACACAATGCCCATGCCATGCAGATGAAGACTAAAGGCCTCATGTGTAGAAAGACTGCTGGACATATGCAGTCATCCTTTGCACAAGAATGAGTTATCAGTGCTAAAGAGAAAAGAGGAAGCAAGTTAAGCACACATTGAAAGTTTTTAGTGCCTGTGTATGGCATTCCAGTTTTTGTCATATCTCCACCATTTCCAAAGATATTGGTTCCATTCTGACACTTGCTTGAAGTGCTCAGCCACATGATTCTGCCTTCCAAATTTGGAGAGGATCGTCACACCTTACACATTTCTACAACACTCCATCTGTCAGACACTCATTTCACTAAGTCCATCAGAAATGGCCATCTCTTTGTCAATCATCTCACTTGTCTCATTTTCCAGAGACAGTGGCTATGTATACCTGCCAGGCATCCCCACCAGCTTCCATCCTGAAGCCCCCTGGTTCATTCCATCATCATCAGCCCCATCCCATCCCATGCAGCTTGGTCAGTGTGTTCTCCTCATCAGTATGACTTCCAGAAGGATGTTCTTTGGTTGCCTCAGGTCTGTCACTCAGTTAGAAAGGCCTTATGTGGTCATTTCAGTCTCCCCTCTTAATGAAGCATATGGATCATTCCTCCCTGCTCCCTGCACCATCTTCATTCCAATCTCATCTGTCACTCTCCCTGCATTGTGACAGCTGCAGCATAATCTACTGTTCTCCAGCCTCCCTGACCACATCCATGATGAGTATGATGTGCATCTTGCCTTCTTACTGCAAGATCCAGCAGAAGATGTCCCCCCTTCTCCTCCTCCATCAGAGCCCCATTCATGAAGCTTTTGTTAACTTCACTGAGAGGATGAAAGGGTGGAAGAAATGATTGCTTATGCTCCCATTGCCCCACAGACCCCCAACACCCTAGCCCTTTGATGCCTGACCCATGCCCTTCAATTCTGGAATTAATACTTCCCTATCTGGAAACACTGTCCATCTGTCATGCCATCTTTGGGTCTAATGATGTCTTGGCTGAGATCTGACTTGCATTGCCACTCCCCTAAAGTGATATCAGTGTGCTTACTCAGTTTCTGACATTATTTGACTCATTCTGTAATATTTTGACTATCCTTGACTTGTTTATTGCCAATACTTACCAATCTTCTTTGCTTGCTTACTTTTCATTTCATGCTTACTCATCATGATCACTCAGTCCTTACTCATTACTCACCAAGCATTTGTGCCTCATTCATCATAGGCTGTGCTCCCCTCACAGTATATAAACCCCCATGTACTTAGCTACCCAAGAAGCATTCCAGAAGCATTCCAGTCAGTCAGTTCAGACATACCTCATCATCAACAGTTGAGGCTCCACAAAGGGGTCTATCTGTCATCATTTGCCATCCTTGGTAGTTGAGGCTCATTTGGAAGGGTCTATCTACCATCATCATTATCTGCAGTCTCATCTGTGCTTAGTCAGCAACTCTTGCTTGGTCATTCTTTCACTCCTGTGTAACTTGTCCTTGACTTGTGGCAGGAGCATGTCCTAAAGATCAACACTCCAGAGTAATTTCAGCTGAAGACTTTCACTCTGTTCAGCATCCCCATCCAGTCATCATTCATTCCTCTACTCCTGTATAACTCATTGATGACTTGTGCCAGGAGCACTCCACTTGAAGCCCCCACCCCACATTAGATTTCTTCTGCCCTCCAGGTTCCATGGAGGTACACCACCACTTTCTCTTTGTTGTCTTCAGTGTTGGTTTTGTTTGGTTTTCACCACATTTTCACACTTTGACTCACAGTGCCAGGAAGTATGTGACTTGATGTCAGGCCAGTGGGTGTATGATCAGTCCATGAGTATCACACCTTCAACTCTTACTACCTTGTGAGCTGACCATACAAACAAACTCAGGAACTTATTGCAGAGGACCCTGAGATGCATGGTGCAATGTTTGTGCTGGTGATCCTCAGCAGTGATAAAACCACTGTGTCCATAGGAACAGGCCATAATGAGTACTATCCCCTCTATACTTCCCTTGGAAATGTCCACAATAATGTCAGGTGAGCACATCACAATGCAGTATCCATTCTTGCATTTCTTGCCATTCCTAAGAGTAAGTGATTCTGCTATTATGTTAAACCTTACTGATCTTGTTTGGGACAACCAACAAGGCTCACAGATGTGACACAGGTTTCCAGCACTTCTGTCACCAACTCTTCCACTCTTTGATTGCTGCAATATTAGATTCTTTGAGACCCTATATGAGCAAGCCTTTAGTTACCTTATGCCCAGATGGGCATTATCATTGAGTCATATACAGTCTTGGCCCATATATTGCAGACTATCCAGAGCAAGTGCTCCTTACTTGTATTGTGCAGAGGTGGTGTCCTTAGTATTATTTCCCTCACATATGGTAGTACACTCAATACTCATACTATGACCATCTCAGTTGAACTGCACAGAACACTGACTTAGATGGTGGAGGTGGCCAACACTCAAGGGAGCTTTCCAAAGCACTTGTTGATGTTCTGGACCCATGAGCCTTGTGGAATGAGTATGGAATGTTACAAGACATCATCGTAAGTCCACCAAGCTTTTGCCACCTTTAAGTTACTACACTCAATGCTTCAAACTCTGTAGCCTTTTACTTCACATTTCCCTCATATGGATATACATGAACTCATCACCCCAGATCTCCTCCATCAAGTCATCAAGGGTGGCTTCAAGGATCACCTCATCAGTTGGGTTCATGAATACCTGGAACTTGAACATGGGAAGCAGGGGGCTGCCAATATTATGGCTGATATTGATCATAGGTAGGTGATCTGACTCTGCCAATGGCCTGACACTTGTTTAAGTTGTATGCTTGTCCAGAATTGCAGCAGTACCCTTGTTCACAGACCTGTGACAGTTTCCAGAGGGCCACAAGTTCAAGCAATGGACTGGTGATGATTCTAAGGCATTAATGAAGGTAGCATTGTCCTCAGTAGCATATTGGTTGGTCTCACACATTACTTACCTGCAATCACTGGGCATGTACCTCCAGCCATGGTGTGCACATTGAGCGCTTTTCTCAACTTCTGCTATCTCATGCAATGATCCATCATCAATGAAGACACACTCAACACTATTGATGATTCAGTACATTGCTTTTGTCAAGAACACACAATTTTTGTAACTACTGGCATGTGTGACCACCTCTCCCTCCCCCATTGACATGTGATAGTTCATTACCATGAAATAATCAAACTGTTTGGTGCTCCAAATGGTCTGTGCTCATCAATTACTGAGTCAAAACATATCAAGGCCATGAAGGAACCCTGGTGCTGTTTGAATAGGTTTGAAGTACTTGGTCAGATGCTTGTGACCAACCAATGACTTGATAAACTATCTGTGGTGCACAGGTACTTCACAGAGTATGGAATGTTAGATGGGCTGATTCTACTGTCTGGGATGGATATTCTGAGGTTAGCTGATGCTGTGCATTTTGATGATGAAGATGGGGAGGTGGATGATGACCTGGTGATGTATGTTGTTAAACTTCCAGCTTGTCCTGGTACACTTTCTTTCATCTATGTGTAATACATCATTCAGACATTGGGCATATAGAGTACAATGTTTCTGGGCCTGTTTCTCATGTAGCTAAGCATCTAGGACTGCATGGCTTACAGGAGGCAATCCAACACTTCTTGTATGACCAACTTAATCCCCATGCAGATATTCCAGGGGACCATGTGCAACTTGATGCTTGCCCCCCCTTCTGAGGCAAAGTCTGCATGTTCAACTCTGCAGTTGTGACTTACTTTGCACCAAGTGACCAGTCAGGCATCAAGGGGATGCAATGTGAGATCATTTGTGCAAGACCATCTTGGCATGGAGGGCCTCCATGGTATGACTGCATGTATGTAGCAAAGGGTGGTGTAGAAGGGGATGGATTCCAAAGTCTGATGGTGGCAAGGGTATGACTGTTCTTCTCTTGCAAAAATGAAGGACAAGGCTACTCATGTGCATTGGTGGATTGGTTTGCCCCAGTTTCAGATAAGCCAGATGGCCTGACAGGTATGTGGATTGTTACCCCAGAAGTGGACAGGTATGGTCATCATGTACAGTCAGTCATACCTCTCAAGTTAGTAGTAAGGGGAGCACTCTCATAGGGGTTTCTGGCAATGACTTTGTCCCTATCAATCTCCACTTCTCTGAATCATTAGAGGCCTTTAAGGCTTACTATGTTAACAAGTATATAGATCATCATGCTTACACACTTGCATAGTTCATAGTTCTAGCACTATCATATCAGTTTTGGTATAGTCTGCTCTGGTCTGAGTAGATCTGCTATAACTGATCTCAGTCTGAACATTATCTGTACACCTACATGTAACTGCAGCTGATAATTATATCTGAATGGTGTCTGACAGTCTGACTGGTCTGGGATCAGGTAGCCCTCTAATTGCAGATGATAAGTGGTCATAATCAGACCCTGCAGATGTGCAGATGGGGTTCAGATAGATCAGGCACTTGTCATTTTGCTGATGATTGGCAGAGAATTAGATACCAAAGACATTCAATCAGGTCTTGACCAAGTCAGTCCTTCTTTCCCCTACCCACAAACAGCATGCTAACATGACCCCCCCCTGCTACCCTCCCTCATGCACTTCCACCCCCCCCTCTAATCCACCCTAAATGCTACTCCCATCATGGGCTCCTCCCCCATCTCCTGCTGCTGCTGCTGCTGCCTAATGGCCCCCCCTTCCCCCCCCCCCTTGCTACATGCCTCATGACCTCACTGCTGCTGCTGCTGCTCCCCCCCCCTCTCTCGATCCTGCTGCTGCTGGGTACAACCCACCCCCAATACATAGCTTCAATACAACCAGTTTCCCCACCCCAAGCCCTTTGAAAGGGGACAACAACTAGCTCACTTCCCCAAGTGCAGACCATCTCGATCCCTGTCACCCAGGTATGGCCAGGGTCAGAGAATGAGATGACACCACACCAGATCACAATCACATCACCCAAGATCTTGCTCTCCCCACAGACACTCAAGGTTGCCAAGGCAAAGTTCAAGCAGAGAAAAGAGACCCTGTCATGACTTTCACCCCAAGACACACATCATTTGCCCAAAATGCCTCAGACAGCATGAAGACCACCAATTCTGCAATGAGCCCATGTGCTGGGATAAATCAGCACCAGCACACTGCACATGGGACCAACAAGGCCACCTCATCAACAAGAATGGCCAAGTTCTCTGCTGGGACTTCCAACACCCTCAAGGCTGCACCAGCAAACTACATTGCCACAAATGCTCAGGCTGTGGTGACCCTAAGCATGGTGTGCAAGACTGCCCAGACCACCAACCTGCTTGATGAATGGCAACATGGAACTGCCCATACCCCTTACCACCCCCAAGCCTGGAAGAATTTACTAGTGAGCTCCAATCTCACATCAAGATACCCATCTCTAGTTGACCAATTAATCCATGGATTCTATGTCTGCATACCTAATATACCCAGCACATTCACCCCATCAAACAACCCATCCATCGACCAGCATTACCATGCATTCCAGGAGATAATCAATAAGGAGTTCATCAAGGGACAATACCTAGGACCTTTCCCCCCCATTTGCTCAAGTAGTACATAGGCCCATTCCAGTCCTCCCCCCTAAGTATCATACCAGAACCCAGTAAACTGGGAAAGTACTGCCTAATACAGAACTTGTCTTACCCTATTATAACTAGACATGGTGCTGCTACTTCAATCAACTCACAAGTTGACTCCTCTCTTTTCCCCTGCACCTGGGGAACATTTCTCACAGTGTGCACACTGTTTGCTTCACTCCCCCCAGGATGTCAAGGAGTGACCAGAGATGTAGCAGAAGCTTACAGAACCATCCCCATACACCCTTCCCAATGGCTGGGCCTGGTAGTGCACCTCACAACCACCCCACCAACCTTCACAGTAGGCACAGCCCTGTGCTTTGGATATGGGCCCTTGGCAGTTGTCTACAGAGGAGCCAGAGATGCAGGCCTGGACATCATGAGAGCAAATGGGATTGGCCCCATGATTGCCTGGGTTGATGACCACCTTTTCATATGGCTCCCCAAGTCTGAGATAGATGGTTACAACCTCACCAGAAATTGCAAAGCCACTTTAATTGCACAGAATGGAGGTGCAAGAATAGATGGGGGATGAATCTGGTACAAAGGTGCCCTCCTAGTGAACGGAGAACATGAAGAGTTTGCAGAAGACTGCCAGCTCCCATTACAAAACCTTGAAGACCAAGAAAATGGCTCATCACTCTGGGATCCATATGTCTACTCCTTCAGACACATTGACAACATCACCAACCAACTTGGCATTCCTTGGGAACTCTCCAAGGATGCACTGTTCTCACAGTCACCAGTTTTCATGGGCTTCACTTGGAACCTTGAAAACAAAATGGTAGGACTCACAGAAGGAAAGAAGGAAAAATACATCAATTCCATAGATGAATGGCTACAGAAGAAAACACATATTTTGGAAGATGTACAGAAACTACATGGATGTCTCTCTCATGTGGTGCTGGTAATACCAGGAGGAACTGCTTATCTAACAGCTCTCCAAGCGATGCTTACCATATTTGGCAGTAACCCATTCATGCCACACATGCAACTGCAAAGAATTCAATGTGAACTACATGGTGGCAAGCAACCCTACTAACCACCCCCCCTCATCCCCATTCCAATACACCACACCACCATCGATCTAAAAGTGTTTTCAGATGCCAGCTCCATCATCAGCCTGGCAATCACCATTGGAGGAAGATGGAGAGCATGGAGGCTCCACCCAGACTGGAACAGAGAAGAAAGGGGCATCAGGTGGGCAGAGAGCACCAAGGGAAGTAAATGCACTGAAAACAAGTGCCACATGTACTGTATAATAGTCCCAAAAGCACTGCATATCAGTTCCACATGATGAAAATCAGTGCCAAATTGTGGCACTGATGTTTCATTTTTGCTACTAATAACCAGTGCCATGCATCAGTGTCATCAACATGTTATTTCAGTGTCAAAATGGTACTGATTTCCAGTCATGTTAGGCACTTATTTTCCAGAAATTTCCATGGAAGAAGGCACTGATTTTCACTCACAATGGCACTGATTTTCAGTCAAGAGTGCACTTATCATCAGTCACAAAAGTACTGTTTCACTTGCAAAATTAACATTGATTAGACAGCACATCAACATTAAGTGCTGCTAGGGAATCGATGATACAGATTACTGGGTGCATAGAAGTCCAAGTAGCACGAGGCAGAAGTGAGTTCTGATGAAAGTGCGTAAACAGCGCAGCTGGGGAATCAACAATACACATAGCTGGGTGCATAGGAGTCCAAGCAGCATGAGGTGGCAGTGAGTTCTGATGAAAGTGTGTAAACAGTGCAGCTGGGGAATCAACAATACACATAGCTGGGTGTGTAGAAGTCCAAGAGGTGCAAGGTGGCATTGAGTTCTGATGAAAGTGTGTAAACGGTCTTGAAAGTGTCCAAATAAGTTAGCTAAAAGGAAATGAGAGTGGATTGACAAGGTGCAGCCTAGTTATGAATGTTCTGTCATGGTTGGCCTCGCTGAGTCTGTGATCAAGTAGTGCGATTCGCCTTAGCGTGTTCCTGTACATTCGACCACACATGAGTCACAAGTGCAGAAAGGACAGTGATGGGGGTACAACAACTGAATTGCCTTATACTCACTGATGTGACAAGTCCAGCAGTTTGACCTATGCTTGCATTTGGGGCATGCTGCTGGACCTGTGTAAGTGGTGATATCTATATCAGTATAACACATTGGAAGCATCGAAGGTAGTACACATGCAGTGGCCACTGGCAGCACTGTTGATTGGGACTTGCTGCTCGGCATGACCGTTGTGGTCTGTAAGGTTAGTAGTGTCAGTAAGGCACAATGTTAGTGGGATAAAGTGTGTAGTGAATGTTAACCTTTGCCTGCTCTGAATGTAACTTGTTGGCAGCTTGATTGGAATCATTGTCTGTCACAAGTAATTTAACTCTGAGGCAAGATTGTGGCTAAGGTGAATGGTGTCAGTCAAGGCACAGCCTACACAGGATGACAGAGTAGGAGATGCCTTCTGCATTTGCCCTTGGAGTTCCAGCAGAGCCTGAGCAGCATCCCAGGTATCACTTGTTGCTTCACATGTCAGGAGCTCCAGTCGCTTTAGTCAAAAGGTGACAATGTTTCTATGAAATATCTCCTCCAACTCTGTATCATCATCATTTGCGGGGTGGATGAGGGAACCTGCATCACTACTTGCAACCATGATCTTGTGCACCTTGACAACTGTTGTGGGACTGTAATCATCTGCAATCAGCAAGGTTGCTATGTAGGGCACCATAAAGTATGTCATGAACTGTGCAAGCGGTAGAGGCTGTATTGCTGCAGTCAACTCTGCTGATGCTGGGAACAGGGCAAAGAGGGTGTGCTCAATGATTGCAGATCCCTTGTCACCATAACTGCTCAGTGTTTACATCAGTTTCTGCACAGTTGAAGAAGTGAGTTGCATGTTGGGGACATACTATCCAGCACGCAAGTGGTCCAGAATCACCGATCCGGAACACAGTGCTGAGTTCTGCATGCGAGCTAGCTTTTCCAACATCCACCCATCTTCAACCAAGTCAGCCTCGAAACACTTCCAGACATGCTGCTGCTCGTGGAGGCTCCTGTTATGAAGAATCAGATCCAGATGGTCTCGCCACTTGATGATATGCCCTGGAATCTGCTTGAAGTCAATCATGCTAATGGGCCAACCTTTTTTCACTGCAATCTTGAGTTGTTCATATTTCCTATACTCCCTTTTGATCATGGTGCAGATCTGAGCTCCTAACTGGACTGTCTCGAAGTTATGCCCATGCTGTTTTTGGGTCATGGAAATGTATCTTTGTAATGCTGCAAAAAGATCTTGAGACATTCTGGATGGGACCTTGTCCTTGCAATATATGCCTGGACATTGTCATGGGAAGTTGTCTTGTGTGATCACAGATGACTGTGTTTCTGCATTGTCCTCCTCGTCAGTCAAGTCCTGCATGAACTACATGAGAACACTGGCTGGCATACATGATAAGTACATCTACAACTCACTTGTAGTCCAAGGGACACGTCGTCCCTTTTCTTCTTCTGTGACCCATCCTGTGTGAGTATGAGAGCACAAAAATGGAATGCAAAGTTTTGAAGGCACACATACATGACATTCAGAGGCTGCTGGTGCCTCTGCTTCATTGGCATGCTCCCATACTGATGCGAGTGGTCTTGGAGCGCACGACCCATTGCTGATAGATTCCTGAAAGAGTGTGAATGCACAGAGTGAATGGCTTTCCAGACCATACCTGTTGTTCCATTCTCAGCATGCCATTTGCTGCTCATAGTATGCATGATTGCTGGTCATCAATTGATTCATCCACCAGCTCGTTTCTCTTTCTCTAAACCGCATGGCGCATTGTGAACATCAGCTTGTGACTACAGCTCAATATACTCACTCACATTCTTCTGAGTACCACCCAGGCATTGGTGACCCTTATCACCCTTGGTGTGCATGTTGGGCTGGATGTCATCATCACTAACAATCAACTTTCTCTGAAAAATGTTCAGGCATCAGTTGCAATCACATACAGCTTACTTCCTCACCATTTTCTGTCTGGCGTCTGTGTGTTTTGGGTAGACACTCCTCTCATCTTCATCTTCATCTTCATCTTCATCTTCATCTTCATCTTCATCTTCATCATTGTCATCATCATCATCATCATCATCATCATCATCATCATCATCCCTCTCCATCTAAATGACACAGAGTGAGCTCGAGATAGTAGATGTTTGTTCACCTACCTTTCTCTGTGTACCCAGAGCATGTTTGCTGTGCCTGTTACTGGCACCAGCATCGTCTGCATACATTTCCTTGGACTCGGACTGGGAGTTGTCTCTCTTTCTCTAAGTGACATGTAGTTAGTTCATGATAGTAGAATGCACATTTGCCTACTTTTTTCTGTGTATCTGAAGTACATTTGATGTGCCTGTTATCGCCAGCATCACCTGTGTCCATTTCCTCAGACTCAGACTTGGAATCAGACTTGGACTCGGACTCAGACCTCTTTCTCTAAGTGACATGAAGTGAGTTCATGATAGTAGAACATGCATGCCTACCTTTTTATGTGTACCTGAAGTACATTTGAGGTGCCTGTTATTGCTGGCATCATCTGTGTCCACTTCCTCGGACTCAGACTTGGACTTGTCCCTCTTTCTCTGAATGACATGGAGTGAGTTCATGATAGTAGAACACACATGCCTACCTTTTTCTGTGTACCCAAAGTACATTTAATGCGCCTGTTAGCACCAGCATCGTCTGTGCCCACTTCCTCCTCATCTTCATCATTAGACTCTTCTCTCTTCCTCTAAATGTACCAGGGAATCAACTCAAGATCAAAATATAGATAAAAGTAACTGCTAACCCTTGCTTTGGCATTCTGTTTTTGCCTTTGTTCAGATGTTGACTGGTTTTTCAATACCTGGGCAATTAAAGCATGTGCACCCCAGCCTCCCTCACACCACATGAGGATTTCTGATTCTGCTTGGGCCTAACGATGTGAATCTGGGTTATTAGTGGCTATATGCACTTAGAATGCGCTCCCTTACCCTCTGAATGACTTTCTCAACAAGGAGCTTGTCGCTTTGGTGAGAAAGTGAACAACTTGTATCCAGGTAGTGGTAGACCAATTTCTGTACAACATCCTATTGAGTAGCATACAGGTAATAAGAATACAGTAGTAGGGATGGAAGACATGCTGAAAGGTGATTGTACATGTCCTTCTTCTCTGTGAGTCCCAAGGCATCTATTAGCTTGTAGCTGCTGCCTCGACCTGCTTGGCCCTTGGGCTTGTTAATCAATCTTAACCATTGGTTAGTATGTTTATCTTGCTGTTTTTTCCACCTCCTCTCCTCTTTTGCATGGTTCTTTCCTGCAGGAAGAGATATGAGATCTAAATGGTACCTGTCAGTATCAATGAACTCACATTTGTGCACTTCCAAATCCCCATGGAGTTCCGATAATGACTCTCCTAATTTATTGATCCTTGACTGCTTCTTGTGCTTCAGCTTTGTCATCAAGGCTGGAGGCTTGATGGCAGAGATGATACAGTGCATAGGATAATGGATGTAAGCAATGACCTTGGAGTGGCTGTGCTCAGGTCAGGTGATCACAGCTCGGTACATGTTGCTAAGTCAGTTAAGTCAAACATACTGACCATGCCTCCAATTCGATCTCCAAGGAGGAAACATTATTGGTGCAATCCAGGATGTGGTGTGCGCTTGAGCAGCACACAGTGGTGGTGTCACTATAAGAAGGCTGCATCCATGTGGCAACTGGCAGGCATGTGTGACTCTGAAAGCCTGACAGGCAAAGAAAGCCCCCAACTAGATCTGGCTGAAGGTCAGCTCAACAAGCTGAACATTAAATGATACTAAAGTAATCATCTCAGGTGGCCATTCCCACCTGGCATCTCCATCTGAGTCATCGGACACAACAGGTGTGAGTGGGGTGTCTGAGTCCGAGGCTGACCCCAGAAGTGACGTTCAAGATGATGTATGGGTATGGGCTGAAGAGCTCGAGGGAGATGATAATGAGCTGCTGGATGAGTTGGAAGACAATGCAAGAAATGAAAGAGAATGAGATCTGTTCACTCTCCATATGTGCCCAGTTGCCCTGGCTCTAATGCATGAACTGATCATGCATCAGGGAATGATATTCTATCAGATGAAGATCGTGACAATATCCACACATTTAACCTCCTTATGATGGGCCAAATCACTCGACATGCTTACTCACAGATGCGATTCACTTTCCAACACAAAATGAACCTCGACTTGCAATATGTCATCTTTCAGTGTGTGGCCAAACTATCTGGGATCAAACCCCCCCTGGTTGACTGCTGCAGAAATTCATGTGTGGCCTACACTGAAAAATATATTTATCTTCAGTCTTGTCCATTCTGTCGAGAAGTGTGATTCAACCAGTACGGAAGGCCATGTCAACAATTCATGTATCTCCTGCTTATCCCACAACTGCAAGGGTATTTCCAAAGCACGAGGATGATCAAAACGCTCTCATACCATGCAGATTATGATATTGGGAGAGGAGAGATTGCGGATGTATTCAATGGGAATCATTACCAGTGGCTTCTCCATTGTCGTGTTATTGTTGATGGAGAAGAGTTACCTCACCAATACTTCTCAGATTCCTGAGACATCGCATTGGGCCTTTGTACTGACAGCTATTTACTCTTCAGGCGGCGATGCAAGGGCCTGTCTGGTACACCACTCCTGTTGCAGAACTACAACCTGCCTCTGCATGTGCAAACTCACAGCAAAAACCTATTGTGTGTCGGAATTATTCCTGGCCCACACCAACCCAAGGACCTTCATTCTTTTCTCGTTCCCCTGGACAATGAATGTGCTGAGCTAGCATATGGCATCCAGACTTTTGATGCATCCCAGCAAGCCCTTTTCAATATGCACGTGTATATCATCATTAAATCTGGTGATATCATCACAATTGAGCGCTTCTTAAATCTCAAGGGCCATAACTCAATCTTCCCTTGTCATTCGTGCAAGGTGAAAGCTGTTTGTGGCTTAGGCAAGACCTATTATGTCCCTCTTGACCTGCCATCTCAAAACCACAGTGCAAGGACCCTCTATCAACCAGCCCCTTCACGACACCATGATGACTTCTCAGATGTAATGGCGAGGATTGTGGTGGCTGAAACAAAAAAAGAGATGGTGATGATTGCAAAGGAGACTGGCATCAAAGGATTGCCAGGCCTGACTCATGTCAGGTCCTTGGATTACACACAATTGTCCCCATGGGAATGGTTTCATTTGTTCTTAGAGAACATTGTCCCAAACCTTGTCGACTTCTGGACAGGCCAATTCAAGGGTCTTGGGATGGATAATGAAGACTTCGAAATTGTGACTGAAATTTGGGAGGAGATTGGAAAAGAAACTGCTGCTGCTCTCTGACACATACCATCTACATTCATCCACATGCTTGTGAATATTGCAACAGACCGCTCACTCTTTATGGCAGAGACATGGTGTTTTTGGTTCATGCATCTTGCTCCAAAGCTACTGAAGGGGCGCTTTCCCAAAGACAAATACTACAAGCACATGTGTGAGCTAGCAGCAATTATGAAGGCTACTTTACAGTTTTGCACCCCACACAGACAACTTGACGATATTGAAAGACACGTTATAGATTGGGTGCAGAAATATGAGAGGTATGTGCATTTCTGATTCAATTGTATCGCAACACTAATTTTTGTCATTAGATACTATTATCAATATGACATCAAACACCTGCCAGCTTGCATGCTCACAATCCATGGTATCTTACATGTCATACAGGGTATCCAAGACTGTTGGCCAGTGTGGACCACTTGGACCTTTCATATGGAGTGCTTTTGTGGGATGCTCCAGAATACACTCTATTCATGCAGCCACCCTTGGAGTAATTTAAATAAAGCATTACTTCATCACACATACCTGGAACAGTTGCAGATGCGATACAACCTTTCAGATGAGCTTGCAAATGAAGATGAGTGCGAAGATGACGGTCCAATAGGATATGAACGTGTCCTCAAGGATTGTGAGTATGCACCAATGTTACTTACATGCACAACTCATTCTCAAACTGGCCAGACCCAGACCATGTGCTTTGGCCTCCCTATGAGATGGTGCACAAGCTTGATTGTGACCTCCATGAAAGGATCGCACGATACTTGGGACAAGTACTTGGCAAACAAAGCTCAGAGATCAAGAAACAGCTTCCAGCACTTGCGCTGTTTACAGCAGGCAAGCTTAGGGTCTGCCATGGTGGAGACTTATTTTGGACTAAAGAAGTGTCACACAGATTTGGTGCATTAGAGCAGAGGAATTGCTATGTCAGAGTAGGTCCATCATGGTCAGATACTTGTAATGTCTCTAGTTACTAAATACCATAGTTCAAAACAGTGTTTGAGACCTGCACAGGTTCTGTCTTAACCCAAACTGGGTATGGTGACCTAGAAAAAATAATAGCCCTCGTTTTGCCTGCCACACCGCTCTTTGGAGAACTCAGAGGCAAAACCATTGTTGTTGCACTTGTTAGACCATGGGACACAGATGGAAAGGTAGCCTCAGAAGAGGTTGTGTTCTTTGAGTCTCAAAAAGCAAGGATAATTATGGATATCAGGAGCTTAAGAGCTGTTGTAGGCCTAGTCAAGACATGAGGGAGATGGGGTATCATTGACAGGGCACCTGGGACAGCAACGACAACCTTCACAGACAATATGATGGAAGGATATTTACATGATGAAGATGACTTCATCTTGTGAGAGTAGTTGATTCAATATAATACCATATACATGGGAATTCATGGTGTGACGACGTGCAGGATATTGATACATATATACATACTGGGGAGAGATGTGATCCCTTTCCAGGTGCAAGCCCTGACTCAGTACACTCCAGATCCAAAAAGCTACCTGAAGGATGTCACAACAGACCTGCACCCACAATAGTCAATGACATCTCCACCCAAGAAGGTGACTCCTACAGGTCATTGATGTCATCACACAAAGCTGTCCTGGTGGTGATGGAGCCCGCAATGCAGCCATTGACGGTGATGGCAGAGCTGGAGATGGGTTAAGAACTCTTTGTGATGGGGTAGAAGATAAGGGTGATGGTGGTGGCTGCAGGAGGGGCTGACTAGGAGGGGGGGCAGGTGGACAGATGCCAAGATGGTGCCAAGAGCCAACATTGTTGAGCCCAGTGTTACAGGTCCTTGGGGAGGGGAGGCTGGGACGAAGGATAGTGAAAGTGGCATGTTCAGTGGTACTCACCTTGTGCCAATTTCATAATGTTCTGGTGTGTATGGATTACTTACCTGCACCAGGGGTGGGCCAAAAAAGACAACACACCTTCACTCGATTGATGATCTTGAAGCATCCAGAACTATCAACTTCTGCAACATCCCCAGTGTGTATCCAGCCATCCTTCAGCGTCTCCCAGGTAGTCTTCTCATCTGATGGATACCATTTCTTTTCACAGGCCTTAGTAAATGGCGAAGAGGAGACATACCTTTATAATATCCCATGAAGCAGTTCAGGCTGCAGACACATAACTCTCCATGTGGGTTCAGCTTATCATTAGACAGGTAATTCATCACTGGAAGGTCGATGAGTTTGACTTCGAGAATTGGTTGAGGCAGGCCAATCGCCCTGCCACCAGTTGGGTCTCCCTGTGAAGTGCGTGTTGTCACACACCAAAGGTGTTTGGTGAGGTGGACATGGATGTAGCTGATGAATGGAGGTGAAGACCATAGCCCTCATGTGAAGAAGGACAGCCAGCAATGTCGGCAGTCATCCCTCACACAAGAACAAGTTGTTGGTGCCAAAGAAAAAGGAGGAGGCAAGTTAAGTGCCAATAAAATTCTTAAGTGCCCATGTACAGCATTCCGGTTTTTCGATGTATCTCCACCAGTTCTGCAGACACCAAAACCATTCCCACACTCGCTTGTAGTGCTCAGCCACGTGATCCTACCTTCCAGGATTGGAAAGGATTTGTGCACTCCACACGTTTCTACAGCACTCCCTCCAAAAGACGCTCATTTCGCTAATTCTTCTGATATGGCTGCCTCCACATCAGTCATTTTGCTTGTCCCCTTTGCTAGGGACCATGGCTACATATATCTACCAGGGGTTCCTACCAGCTTCCATCCTGAAGTGTCCTGGTACATCCCACCCTCATCTGCCCCCTCTCAGCCCATCCAGCTTGGACAGCATGTTCTTTTTGTCAGTATGACCTCCAGGAGGACGTTCTTTGGTTGCCTCAGGTCTGTCATTCACTTGGAAAGGTCTTATGTGGTCGTTTCAGTCTCTCCAGTCCAAGAAGCATATGGATCCTTCCTCCCTGCCCCCTGCAATGTCTTCATACTGGTCTCGTCCGTCATTCTTCCAAAATTGTGACAGCTACAGTATAATCTACTGTTCTCCACTCTCCCTGATCACATCCATGACAAGTATGATGCACATCTTGCCTCCTTGTTGCAAGATACAGCAGAAGACACTCCCCCTTCATCCTCTCTTCCAACAGAGCCTCATTCATGAAGTTTTTATTTGCTTCACTGAGAGGATGGTTTGGGGGGGAAAGTTGCGATCCCCTATGCTCCTGTCACCCCACAGACCCCCAAAGCTTGACCCCTGTTGACATCTGACTCACCCTGTCTGCTTTTGGATGTACTATATTGGCATCAGATCAGCGCTGCCTCTCTGTCATCCCACTTTGGCCTAGAAGTGATCTCTTCGAGATGTGACATGCACAGCCTCCCCCTGATGTGATTCCAGTGCACTTTCCCAGTTCCTGACATTGCTTGACTCATACTGTGACATTCTGACTGTCTTTGACTCACCTATTGCCAATACTTACCAATCTTTTGACTTTGCTTACTGATTCTTTGCTTTTTGGCTTACTTATCCTTACCAATGCTTACCAATGCTTTCCAAGACGATTACCCATCGCTTACATTCCTTACTCATCAGTTACCAATCACTTACCAAGTGTTTGCACCTTGTTTTCCATAGGCAATGCCCCTGTACTGTATATAAGTCACTGTACTTAGGTAGCAAAAAAAAAAGAAAAAGACATCAGAGAGCCCCTCTTGCTCGCAATTTATCATCTCTCAGTAAATCATTCATCAGCTTTGATAGTTGAGACTTTATTAAGGGTCTAGCTATCATCTACTTCGCTTATCATCATCTATCATCCATATACTTCGCTCCAAGCCCTCCCTGAGCTCAGTACAGCTTAGGACATCGAATTAAGTCACCATCCATCCTTCTGTAGGCTGACAGCAGTCTACCCTATTGCTTTCTATCACATTCTTGCTCCCTCTTCATCAGGAGCACCCCCAACCCTCAGCACTCATCTTTGAGTGTTGTAGCTCACAAAAACCCTCCCAAAGAACAGGTTCTACCATCTAGGTACCGCATAGGCACACCACCACTCGCTTTCATTGTCTTTTGTGTTGGTTTTGGTTGGTTTTCACCACTGAGCCTCACTTTGACTCACAGCGTGCAAACTCCACAATTCTCTGTCATGCCATAACTGCCCAGAGTCATTAATGGAACATAATCAAGTGATCCTGCAACCTCGCTTACCCTGGACAAAAATTAGTGAGGGAAGGAAAAGAAGTAGGTTCGTCGCACCTCCTGTAATACCACAACTGAAAGCGATCTTGAAGAAATCAACCACTTCACCACTAATGGGAGCAGAACTGGTGACCATCAGCAAAATGTTCCCTCCAAGTGCAGCATGAATCTGGAAGCCAAGCAGAGTGAGCCAATCGAGTACTGCATCAAGAAGCCTGCCATGAACCTTGCAGAACACCAATGTGTCCCATATGATGTGGGCAGTTACCCCAGTCTTGTGAAGTTGATCTAGTTTCATCTGCACTGCTGTTCAGAAAATAGCACCCTTCACACCCAGCACATTACCAGCGGACATGGCAGCTTGGTATACCCTATTCAGCACTCATGGTACCGATGGGAAAAAGTGAGGTTTCAAGGTGTCATCCATCAAGTGCAAGGGGTCACCAGTGGAGTACCCAATACATCCACCCATGGTGATTACCATCGATTCGCAAATCTGCTGCACACTCAAATCATGGAGATATGTTATTAGACTTCAATAGAATCCCATGAACCTCATAAATGTGCGCCAGTGGCAAGTATGACATGAGACAGCAGCCCAGGGGAAAGCTGGTACCAAAGGTGTTAGCATATGCCACGCTCACAAGATTCATGTGGGTGATGATTGCTCCTGTGAAAAGATAAGTTATGTAAGAACCACTGGCGTCATGAATGGTATTCCACCTTTTGGCAAGTTTGTTGTTCCCTATCATCCAGAATGAATGAGGCAGCCAATCAAGAGTGCAATTAGGAATGTACCGAGGTGTAGCACAAAGAAGCGACCTGATCAGGAGACACCAGAAGAGGTTCAATGAGGTTTTCCTCGCCATACATCTCAACTGTACAACCGAAGGTCAGTGTGCAGGCCTGCCTGTCGAAAAAAAAAACAATCACAAGTCGATTTTGTGACCATATACCGACTGTCTCCATGTCTGTTGCCTTGAGTGTGAAAACCATGAAGACCTACTACATGATATGGGCAACAGATGTCAGCCAATGGTTTCATGAGTAGGTCAAGGAGGTTTGGGTGCATGAGCACCAGCTCACAGAAATGGGCAACAGATGTAGGCCAACTGTTTCAATGAGCTGAGAAATCATGAACACTTACTCTGTGATATGGGTGACAGATGTCAGCCAACAGTTTCATGAGCAGGTCGAGGAGGTTTGGGTGCATGAGCACCAGCTCACAGAAACAGGCAACAGATGTAGGCCAACTGTTTCAACGAGCTGAGAAATCATGAACACTTACTCCATGATATGGGCAACAGATGCTGGCCAATGATATCACAAGTAAGGTTCAGTGAAATGGGCAACAGATGTCGGCCAGCAGTTTCAACGATCCTGCAGAGTTAGTATTAGAAGCTGCTGAGATTTGAACATGCATGACATACTGTGGTCGGTTACGTTGTGTGGACCTGTTTTCACATCAACAACAATTTTCTTGTTGCAAGTTAGCACATCACATGTCAACATTTCATTAAGGAACTATCCATGGCCAGAACAAGGCAGAACACGAAGAAAACCACATCTGGTATTGCACCACAAGTGCAAATCATTCATGCTGCTCATGCCACCCCCATCCAATGTGCATCCGTGCAGTCCACCTCAAAGGCTTCAACACTGAGTTCATTGACATCCATTCCATCCTCTCAGGGACAGTCCCCTCTGGCTGAGGAGTGGTGTAACTGAGTATGTACTATAGGTCCATCCTCCTATCACCGCTAACATGATAAGTAGTATTGCTACCTTTGCCACAATGGAGCTAAATACTTATTCGAGTGCTATTCCTGCCCTCATGTCATGTGCAACCCCTGCTTAGGATTAGTGCAGTGGCTCACGGACAAGGCCCGTGCCAAGGACATAGACTTCCAGTGTCCTGGTTGCCACAAACTCGAAGAGGGTGGTGCGAAGTGCAAAGAGCTACATCTGTACTTTATGAGTTATTCATCGTTCACAATCTGAATAGAGCTGATGTGAGTCCAAGCCATTCATGTGCACAGTACTTGGGAAGAGAATTCCCATGTTGGATAAGCCAGTCATCATCTCGGGGATTTGTGAAAGGGCATCTAAGTCTCAAGTGTGTGCCAAGTCCACCCTTATTCTTGAGCTCATCTGCACAGGAGTGGAAATTCAAGGTTCATTTCCATCGCTCCTCAACATGACCATCAAGGAATATCACACAAGCAACTCCCTTCTGTATCAAAAAATAATCTTTGATTTTGGTATGGATCGAAAGTTTAGTTGGTGGAGTACGAGGATCAAAAAACTGGGTGAAAAGTTGGGCATGTATGCCTTCAAGCACAAGATCATATTCATTACTGTTCATAGCGAAGTCACCCACAGTGACCTGTTTGCAGGGAAGGGCAAGAGTGGTGAGGATGTTGCAATGGAGGTTGGCAAGGTACATGACTGACATGAAGTTACTCTCTCTCATCCATTTCAGTTCATGAAATGCCTGTTCACTTCTCCCCTGCAAAACATGGTCTATGGTTCTACACTGTTTATGTTGACTTGTGGCCCCATGGTTTCCTTTGAACAATCATTAGCAGCGTTGAAGCAATCTATCGCGCAGTCAGTTATTAATGATTGATCTATAAAGAACCTTACTAACTGTTGCCAAGACTCCGGCCAGAGTATACGGTCGCATTCACTGCCAAGGATTTCCTCAACGCAGTTGTCAAAATTTTCATCATGTCGTACAGCGTCAAAGTCTTGATTGAAGGACATGCTCTGGAGAACATTATCCATGGCCTACTCGACATCTTACTTGAACTTCAGATGCACACTGATGTGATGCTCTTTCATCTTTCAGGCCCAGGATTGCCAAGGGCACCATGGTTACTTAGCCCTGCCCCACTCACTGCTGCCCCTCTCCTTGCCATATACAGGTACTCATGGTACCACAGCCATCAGCACCCATGGGGCACATCTCTATCCATGGGGTGCCTGAAATGTGGTGCCATCCATCCATGGGCATGATCAAAGCTGGACCCTCATCCACTGAGTGGTTATCACCCGAAGACTTGAGTGTCCATGTGCCACAAGTGCGCCTTTGAAGTGCATACTCAGCCTCTACCGGTTGAATACGACATGCTCCATGGTGACCCTACATCTGGGTGGCTCAAATACACTGTTTGTGCTGCAGTGCCACTGTGATTTCGTGTGTTTGTCTGTCATTTATACGCTTGATACTTCCAAAGTAATGCAATACTGTGTCTGCATGCAATCTCACTTTATTGGTTTGACAACTTGGTGTGAGTAAACAAGGTGACAATGTCGTGTACTAAATATCAGTGCTGGTAAACTTCGAGTACTGAAAGTCAGTGCCCAAAAAAATGTGGTACTGAAAATCAGTGCCAACAAACTCAGGGCACTGGTTTTCAGTGTTGCAAAATATGTGGTACTGGGAATCAGTGCCAGCAACTGAAATTTAGTGCTCCAAAAAATGCACACTGAAAATCAGTCCTGCGAAGATGACACTGAAAAGAAGTGCTCAGTAGATCAGTGCCAGTGGTACTGATTTTGCTCAAATCAGTACCACTGGCACTGATATTCAGTGCATTTACTTCCCACAGTGGAGCATCACATTCAAGTTCCTCATATGCTACCTCCTCATCATTGATACCTCCTCCAAACCTCTCCAAGTCTTCGGAGACAATGAGGGAGTCATCAAAGCATGGAAGAAGGGAAGGAGCAACAACAAACCCACAAATGAAACCTTCCAAAGAGTCCACATGATACTGGCCTCTCCCCCACACAGAGCTTTTGCAGACTACATCCCAAGTAAGTCAAACCCAGCAGACAGGCCATCCTGGGGTATCTATCCCCCCACCAAACTTGCATTGCCCCCCATCCAAATCCCAGACCCCATCACTCATCTCATCTTCGATTTTGACAACCTGCATGCCCAGAGTTTCCCAGTCCAATATTAACTTCAACAACATCCCACCCACAACAATCACCCAACAATCAAACCACCACCCCAGGCCCACACTCACCCTCCCTTACAAATGATATGCAACTTCCACAGGTTTCTACAGAAGGATGACCCCTTAGACATGGCCATCTTTGCATGCCTGACTACCACCTTCTACATAGCAGCAAGAGTCAGTGAATTCACCATTAAATGACTCGATGCATTCAACCCCATGTTGCATATCACTCCAGCAGGAGTTCATGATGACACTGACCATAATGGGCTAACAACCACAGTCTTCACTCTACTGAGCATGAAATCCAGCCCCAGGGGAGAAGAAGTGAACTTGGCAAGACAATCAGGCCTGTCAGACCCCCACACTGCATACCTCCAGCACCTAAGAGTCAATGACCCACCCACCAACAGCCCTCTTTTTGCCTATAGGAAAGACAGGGGACACCAACCCCTCACATGGCAAGCTTTCATATCACAGCTGAAGAAGCTAGCCAAAGCAGTGGGGCATGACCACATACATGGGCATGGGCTCAGAATAGGAGCAATGCTGGAGTATCTACTATGAGGTGTCCCCTTTGAAGTGATGAAAGTCAAAGGGAGATGGGCAAGTGACTCCTTCCAGCTCTACTTGAGGAAACACAACCAGATACTTGCCCCATACATCCAAGCTATGCCCACAGAGATAGCCACTGAGTTCATTCACATCACTATGCCCCCTGTGCACTAAACCCAATCAACCATGAGTAACAACTATTGCCCTCCTAGCTTAGGGGGAGATGAGCATCAGCCCATCATGTCAGACAAGACCCCCTCCTATCACATGGGATCTGCAGCTAATGCTTGTCTCACAGATGACCTCTCTCCATGGCCAGGAGGTGCTTCGCACCCCCACCCGAATTGCTTCTACACACTGAACAGTCTCAGCTACCCCTTCATCTAAGCAGCATACAACTACAATACACAAAGATAGACATTCTAGTATGTAGGAGATATGATGAGTAATATAATAGTGTCTTTGTTCGAGTGGCTGTGCTGTCTCGCACCTTCTCTCTCTCCCCACTATCATCAGAATTTGGCCCACAGCATGGGTTCACCTTGTTCCTTTTCACCCACCCACTGCACTGCCAATTCTCCAGGTCCCAAGAACCTTTCAAATTATCCTCACTTGACTCGCACCAGCTGCCATGATGAGACAGTGGTTGCAAGAGATGCACACTGAACATCACAAGGGATCCCACCTGCCCCCACAGCCAACACTCATCTCACAGATCACCTCTCTCCACAGCTGGGAGGCACTTTGTGCTCCCACCCAAATTGCTTCTACACACTGAAGTCTCAGCTACCCCTTTGTCTAAGCAGCATACAACTACAATATGCAAAGAGAGCAAAAACCCCACCACTGTCATTGTCTTTGCTGGAATGATCTGACACCAAGTGCTCAACAAGTATTCAAACAATATATTCTTACCACAAGACTTCAGCATGAGAACCAGTGAGTCCTGTCATGACTGTGTCCAGACTACCCTAGACTGGCTCTACCCTGGTCTCAACCAGTCTTGTCCAACCCTTGCCCCAGTCCCAGCCTTAACCCTTCAACCTAGAAACATGTTAGCTTGTGAGGCACTGCAAGGCAGTGCCCAATCAAGTTGTCCACTCAGTTGGTATGTACTGGTGTAATACCCAGCCCAGCCACTAGTCCTGCCCTGGTTCCCAGTAAATCCTTTGTTCATAGTTTTGCTTGATAATATTCTTTGTAACATCCTACTTACCAATCTGTTTACTGATCATCACTGTACCAGTGCTACATTACGCTTACTTTACCTTAAGTATTTAAGCCATAGGATAATCTGTTTAGCCTCAGTCTGAAATCAATCTAGTCTTGTCAAACTGTCAAGTCTGGGCCTACTCCAACCAACTCTGACACTAGTTGAGGTCCAGGGAGAGGTTCAGGAGCAAGCCTGATGGAAAGAGCAGAACTCCGACTGGCAGAGTGTTGGCAGGAATGAAATCTGCTGAGGTAAGGGCAGAGCAAAGTGAGGGCATCAGGTTTAGCTCATGCACTACCCCCTTGCACAATCTCAGCCCCTGTATTTCAGAGGGGGAGTACAGACAGACAGTCAGAGGTAACTCTGACAGGCAGAAGATGGAGACAGAGGGAGTAGGAACTAAGTCGATATTTGTACTGAGGAATGATGGAGTATGATACATGCTTTTATACTACTACAGAGGTACAGTAACTGGAATCAGAACTGACATATGGAGACCCAGCAATTTTCAAGTAAAACATCCTAGACAATGAATGAAGGGTAGATGGAGGGCATACAAATGGGTAACATAGAACATCCAGAAAAGGAAACAGTCCAGGCACTGGACCATGCAGTGTGCACACTGCAGAGTACCTGACTGTGAGCTGTCAGGGAGGAGTCCAAAGGTAGTCACATGACTCCATGGTCTGTTTGGTCCAGTAGGGGAGCAGTGCAAGTCCGACAGCAGCTGGAGCAGAGATGGCTTGTAACTGACAGAAGTTGGGCAGAGTTGGTGTGTTAGTGAGTGAATGACCAGTGGAAAGGGGTGTGGAGTGACTGAGGACTTAGGATGAACACATGACCATGACAGTGCCCCCCCCTTAGGGCCTGAACCCCTGAAGGCCACATGTATGAGATGAGATCAACATGAGTTGATCATTTGAAACCACTTTGACACCTCAAGGATAATGGCTTTAGCTGCAGTGGAGCTCTGTCAGAGTCTGAAGAACCACTTAAAAGCACATGTTAGGGTACCAAACCTTCATCCTTTCTCCCCATCATCATGTCCTCCCAGCACCAGAGAAAAACCCCCCAGCCAACCCCCAGTCATGTCCATGACTACTCCCAAGTTGTGGATGATGAACTGGTCATCCTTACTGATGACTCCACCAACACCAAATGGGAGAAGTCTGCAGAGAAGGCACACCAATGAGAGGAGACCAAGTGGAGAGAGAGAGAGAGTGCAAGGCAGAGCACAAGGCCAAGTGTGAGGAGGCCAAAAGGTGGAAGGCAGAGGAGGAGAGGTTGGAGGCAGAGTGGAGGAAGAGAGTGGAGGAGGAAGAGGAGGCTCAAAGGAAGAAGGAGGCAGAAAAGCAGAGGCAGAGGGCCTCTGAGGAGAGGGCCCAGGCCAGATGGGACGAGGCTGCACAAAGGTGAGTGGCAGAGCACTATGAGTCAGGTGGAGCTGACTTGCAGTTCTGCCTTCATTAGACTATGTGGTGCAGTGTACAACATCAACACCACCCAGAGGGTCCCTGGGACCTCTGTGGTGGTCACTGTGACCAGGTGGCCTCCCTGTACTCGCTGTGTAGTGAGTCTGACAGCAGGGCAGTGTGAGCCAGGACAAGGCAAGACCAGGGCCTGCATGTCCTGCCAAAACAAGAAAAAGGTGTGTAGTTGGACAAAAGAGGATGCGGTGGCAGGGCCCTCATGGAAGAGGGCAGGGACAGGAAGTTCCCAAGGGGAGAAGAAGAAAAGGTCATGAGGGAAGGGGAAGGAGAGAGTGACAGAGATGGAGGAAGTGGACAATGAGCAGGAGGTGGGTGGTGTGGACAAGGAGGAGCCAGAGACACCACACGAGGGCCCCTTCCTGGTGGGTGGAATGGCAGTGGCAGTGGCAGCTGCAGGCTGCAGAGAGGTATGCAGAGGCACACGAGATGGCCACAACAGCCCTTGAGAGGATGGCAAGAGCAGCAGAGCAGATGGTGGAGACCACAGAGCAGACAGCCAACAAGTGGGGGCTGTACCGTGAGTGGGCAGAATGGGCAGGGATGAGGAGGAGGGAGGATGTGCATGAGGCCAGGATGGCTGAGTTTGAGCATGCAGGAGGAGGATGGAAGCGGCCTCAGTCAGAGGTGCCAGAGGACCGGGACAAAGGTATGGAGGCAGACAACGAGGAAGAGGAAGAAGTCAGAAGAGAGCCAGAAGGCAGAGAAGGACAAGTAGACTTCTTTTTTTTTTTTTTTTTCTTTTTGCTTGTATATTTTGTACTACTATGAAATAGACCTGTGACCTTGTTTGTGATTCTGAGAAGTGAAACAGATAAGCGGAGAAAATTCTAAAGTACTCAAGGTAGTTTGATAAGGGGCAGAGTACTATGGCGGAGGTTGATATGGGCCAGGTTTGTGCAGATAGTGTTCATGGAAAGCAGAGACTATGTTGGAAGCATAATCCAGCTCAGTTGCAAGCAACCAAGAGGT